TTCTTCTTTGACATGCACTAACATTGTCTCTGTAGCGCCGTTTTGGGTTTCCCCCGTATGGGAAAGCTCCGTGACCTCAAGAAGGCCACTGAGGCTTACTGGGGCGGCAAGATCTCTCGTGATGAGCTCCTGAGCGAGGGAAAGAGACTCCGTGCTGAGCACTGGAAGATCCAGAAGGATGCTGGTGTCGATATCATCCCCAGCAACGACTTTGCTTTCTACGATCAGGTCCTCGACCACATCCAGCTCTTCGGCGTAAGTTCCCCTGATTGTTAAGGCATATTCCGCCAGGTAGTCTAACAAAATCATTGAATAGGTCGTCCCTGAGAGATACAGCAAGTACAACCTTGACCCCCTTGATGAGTACTTCGCCATGGGTCGTGGTCTCCAGAAGCCCGCCTCTGAGGGCCAGCCCGCCATTGACGTTCCTAGCTTGGTATGGTGCCCCCTTCCAACAACCACGTGTTCAAAAGGTTCCCCTTCTAACACGGTATCTACAGGAAATGGTCAAGTGGTTCGACTCGAACTACCACTACGTCAAGCCTACCCTCCAGGAGAACCAGGTCTTCAAGCTCGCTGCCAACCCCAAGCCCGTTGCTCAGTTCCTCGAGGCCAAGGAGGCTGGCATCGTTACTCGTCCCGTCATCCTGGGTCCCGTCTCCTTCCTGACCCTCGCCAAGGCCGACCGCGGTCAGAAGATTGACCCTATTGACAAGATCAACGATCTGGTTCCCGTCTACGTTGACCTCCTTGCCCAGCTGAAGGCTGCCGGCGTCGAGGACGTTCAGATTGACGAGCCTGTTCTCGTTTTCGATCTCCCTGCCAAGTCCAAGGCTGCCTTCAAGCCTGTCTACGAGAAGATTGGTGCTCTCGGTGACAAGGCTCCCCGCATTGTCCTTGCCACCTACTTCGGTGACATTGTCCACAACATTGATGTTCTCCCTGCTCTGCACAACCTTTATGGTATCCACGTGGACCTTGTCCGCAACCCTGAGCAGCTCGACTCTGTTATTTCCGCTCTTGGCCCCAAGCAGGTCCTCTCTGCTGGTGTTGTTGATGGTCGCAACATCTGGAAGACCAACTTCAAGGCTGCCATCGAGAAGGTTGAGCACGCTATCCAGAAGCTTGGCAAGGACAGAGTTATTGTCTCTACCTCCAGCTCTCTTCTCCATGTCCCCCACACCCTTGAGAGCGAGAAGAACCTCGATCCCGAGGTCCGGGAGTGGTTCAGCTTCGCTGTTGAGAAGACCCACGAGGTTGTTGTGATCGCCAAGGCCGTCACCGAGGGCCCTGCTGCTGTCCGTGACCAGCTCGAGGCCAACGCCAAGTCCGTCCAGGCTCGTGCCTCTTCCGCTCGCACCAACGACCCCAAGGTCAAGGAGCGCCAGGCTGCTGTCACCGAGGAGATGCACAACCGCAAGTCTCCCTTCCCCGTCCGTCTTGCCGAGCAGAGCAAGTCCATCAACCTTCCTCTCTTCCCCACCACCACCATCGGTTCCTTCCCTCAGACCAAGGAGATCCGTATCCAGCGTAACAAGTTCACCAAGGGTGAGATCACCGCTGAGGAGTACGAGAAGTTCATCGAGCAGGAGATTGCCGAGGTTGTCAAGATCCAGGAAGAGCTTGACCTCGACGTCCTCGTCCACGGTGAGCCCGAGCGTAACGACATGGTTCAGTACTTCGGTGAGCGCCTCACCGGTTACGTCTTCACCACCCACGCCTGGGTCCAGAGTTACGGATCTCGTTGCGTGCGTCCTCCCATCATTGTCGGTGATATCTCGCGTCCCGCTCCCATGACTGTCAAGGAGTCCAAGTACGCCGTGTCTATCTCCAAGAAGCCCATGAAGGGTATGCTTACTGGCCCCATCACCTGCCTCCGCTGGTCTTTCCCTCGTGACGACGTCCACCAGTCCGTCCAGGCTCAGCAGCTGGCCCTTGCCCTCCGTGACGAGGTCATTGATCTGGAGGCCGCTGGTGTCAAGGTCATCCAGGTCGACGAGCCTGCTCTGCGTGAGGGTCTCCCTCTGCGTGCCGGCAAGGAGCGTGAGGACTACCTTGCCTGGGCTGTGCGTGCTTTCCGCCTGGCTACCACCGGTGTCTCCGATGGTACTCAGATCCACTCTCACTTCTGCTACTCTGAGTTCCAGGACTTCTTCCACGCCATTGCCGCTCTGGATGCCGATGTTCTCAGCATTGAGAACAGCAAGTCTGACGCCAAGCTGCTCAAGGTCTTCGTCGAGGAGGCTTACCCTCGCCATATCGGACCTGGTGTCTATGACATCCACTCTCCTCGTGTTCCCAGCGAGCAGGAGATCAAGGATCGCATCGAGGAGATGCTTCCTTACCTCCGCCCTGACCAGCTCTGGATCAACCCTGACTGTGGCCTGAAGACCCGTCAGTGGCCCGAGACCAAGGCTGCTCTGACCAACATGGTCAACGCTGCCAAGTTCTACCGCCAGAAGTACACCAAATAAATGGTGTAACTGGCTTTTTCAATGAACGGGGACGACATTCTTCAACCTGTCGCTCCGGAAACGAACGAAACTTGTTTTCGTTTTGTTAATGTGATGAGTTACGACGATGATACCAAAAGTTCAACATAAGGGTTCGGGGTTTTGTATTAGAAAATATGGGGGTCAACGGAGTTTCAACATTTACGATTTCAACATCGGCGTTCAAGCCAAACAAGACTGCCTCTACATGCGGTCAGCATTTCCATCGGTGGGATGTTTCTTTTTTTCGCTACTTCGGTTATAATCAAAAGGGATATGCATGATCGCGGCAGTCGGCGCCGCTGATGGTTTTTCTTCAATATTTCAACAATGTGTTGTACATGACACTGGAGGTACTGATTTAGATCTACCTCTTAGAGCCTAATCAAATGAAAGGCAATTTCCAATATGTCTCTGTTCTATCTCAGTAGACATTGTAGATGGTGACTGAAGGCCTGTGGATATGAGAGAATTCTGAAAAGCATGTACCGCAGCGACCATCTGTGATGTGAAGAGCCATAAGTGACCTCTCCACCAAAGTAACTAGCGATGTTGTTGGGCCATACTATTCAAGAGAGATGAGGTCCTATCTTTGAGCTTTCATCGCAGAAGCCCGCAACTGAAATCCACATCACAGCCACGAACACCATGGAACAGCAGCCCCTCGACCCGCGACCGCCTTCTCCCCAAACTTCTCTACATACCACTTCCTCCCCCAGCGCGCATGAGGCAGCATATTAGCCACCGCATTAACAACAAACACGACCGCCGGAAGAGGCAGGGGAACCTGTAGTTTCTCGGCGAACGCCGCAGCGGGCTTCAGCCACGGAGCGATGTGCAAGGGCGGCGAGGCATAGGCGAGTGCCTGAGCGGCGGGGAAGACGGCCGTGCCGACGAGAGCGAAGCCGAGCCACTCGAGCCATTCGAAGGCGTAATGCGGGTAGAGGATGGAGCGGAAGACGCCGCGGGCGGGTGGGATGACGTAGACCTTGTCATATTTATTCTTCTTGCCGTTGGCGTTGGCGTTGGCATTCGCGTCGCTGGACGAGGACGAGGACGATGCCTGGATGAAGGTCGGATGGTCCTCGTCTCCATGTTGGGTGACATCCTCGTCGGACTTCTTAGCCGCGTCGCGCTTCTCTGCTGCTTGGCGGCGGAGACGGAAGAGGGTGCGCTCCGAGTGGATGTTGCCTATCATACCGGCTGCGAAGAGGACCATCCCCAGGCAGGGCAGGAAGTGCGTTGCGGCGGAGTAGGGCGACGACCCTCCCGGAGCGCCCGAGACGGCGCCGTCGGTCTTGTACCCCAGCACCGGGACGTGGTATCCCACCAGCCAACCGGCCAGACAGGTCGAGTTGAGCCAGTTGAACAGCACTGCCATGGAGACGACGGACGCATGCATGGGGGACATGCTGGGGGCCGCGAAGAATGGCGAGATGATGGCGCGGTTGACATAGTGGATTACATATAGGGACGCAACGAGCTTATTAGATAGTGGGAGCGAGGTAATGTTGAGCGCTGACGGCAATTTGTAAAGGATGTAGAGCAGGTTCGCCGGTCCCACGATCTCCATGAGAAACCAGCCCAGTTTGCCTGGGATGTTCAGCCAGGAGCTCTGGTAGGAGCCTTTACCAGCTGGATGCCAGGAGACAGCCCACTGGACGAGCGAGAACTGGTTTACGTTAGGTTACCATAGTTTAAGGAAAATTGCATAAACGTACCACTGGAAAGTATTGGAATACGTTGAGCAAGGTTGTGTAGGCCTGGGGACTGGGGAGGATGAAGTCTCTCAAGGGGGGAAGAGAATCCAGGAACGACGAGATTGCGGAGCCCATGTTTGCCTGTCTGACACATTAGTATAAGCATGAAATAGGTGAAATCAATAAAATGATCAACACTGATCAAAAGAAAAACATACGCGGTAATAGTCCCTGATCAAGCTACCTACTTATTTCAAGGGTCACGCTGGTTTGGGATGCTGAGATGCTCAGATGCACAGGCGCTACAGAGAGTCTGAGACGATGGTGATCAAGGAAACTCCGGAAGAAAATTCTTCAGACCATGGCTATAGGCCTCTCTCAAGTCTCAGCACAACAAAGAGAAGTCATTTTAGGGATATGGTGGAGGTGAATCCCACGTCAACAAAGAAGGATCAATAGCTTGTGTTCATCCAATGATGTCACGGGACAGTCACTGCACGTGATCAGCTGCTTAGTTACAGGTCGATGTATCGAACATTGATCAACTCCTTGTCACAACTGAAGATGGATGTATCTCTTCTCCCTCCTTTAGCAGCCACTACTCATGATGTATATCTAGAGGTATACAAAACAGTCGAGTACACAGTATATGGGAAACGTGAAGACAAATCAGTTCCAATCCAGGAGGTCAAGCATGGCATTCTAAATTCAAAAATGAAGTAATGCGCAGGGGCTAGCTGGAGTGGCTTCAAATGTCGATGCCGAGCAATCATTATCCATCTAAGAAGTTCTATGCGAGTTTTGTGCTTCAATCAGTCGACGTATCCATAGCGTCAGTCACAGTCTGCGTTAAGGGCTGTCGTCGCGCCGCTAGTCTCTCCGCCTTAAATGCCTCAATCTTGGCCTTGAGCTCCGCATCTAGACAAAACCAGTCAGCCGGGTCGCTTTCGACGATTGAGAAAGACGAAAGATAAAAGCTTACCAGGGGTTACATCCTCCATCTTGAGCGGAGCTCTGTTGAACGGATCATGTGGGTCACTCAGAAGGTGAGACCGAAGAGTAGAACGATCCATGGATACCCTGGATCCAGGGAGGATAACTGGATCTTCCATCAAGGTATACATAAGGGGATCTAGAGAAGAGCTATCAGCTATCTGGCCATCACCACGTAAGTAATTCACCGAACATACCCAAGAATTCGTCAGGAATTTCGCCAAGATCCTCCTCGGCTTGTTCATCAGCCTCTTTGGCCGCCCTGACCTTCGCCTGCAGCTGTTCCCATTGTTGGAGCTCCTCCGGAGATTTCAGCGACCATTTTCGGAGGATATCCCCGGCCTTCTGAAAGTTCGCCGGCTTGTAGGACCGTCCGTCCCTTGCGACGGCGAGGATGAAATTTTCCTTGCCCATCAGGTTGAGATACACATCGACGATCTCGCTCAGCAAAGCCCGCGGGTTGAAACCGTACTCTTGCAGATTGTCCACTCGCAAGCTGGAGCTCTTTGGGCCAACCATGGCATCCAGGTTGTAATCAAGCATGTCTGCCAATCTCTGGACAATTTCAGGCATGGTGAACGAGTCTGCCAATGCTTCCGTAAACAACTTGAGCATGGCGACCGTCTCGTTCGTTAACTGCATGTAGGATTTGGCGTTCCGTTGAGCGGATGCAAGATGCTCCTCTTTTTGTTGACGCTCCTGAGGATCCATGTTGTTCCCATTGCGACTGAGCTCCACCTGGGTATCATGAATCGTGATGAATGCGCCAAAGGATTCATCAAGCACATATGTCACGTCGTTTAGAAGCAAGTTCACAAAGCGAACGAAAAAGTCCAGATTTTGCTTGGACTGGTTGTAGAGCTTGTTTCGATACAGAGTGTTTGGCCAGATACACTTGATTATCTGGAAGATTTCGTAGCGGATGTTGAACTTGTCAAAGAACTGGGTGTGCGTCCCCGTATGCTCTGCTTCAATATAGAACTTCATGACGGCATGCAGCAGGTATTCATTAGCAAAAGGGAAAGAGTTCAAAAGATCGACTAGAACACCGCGTGCGCCACCAGGGCGAGGCCATGTCCCCCGGAACAGTATCGAAACAAGACCCGCTTTCAGGTAAGGGTTCTTGATGTAGTCCGAACTCTCCAGAAAAGTGATACAGAGCATAACTAGCTCGTCTCCCTGTGTCGCGGTGATTATCTGCGGCATGCACCACATGATGAACTTGAAGTTGCTGACAATGTCATCCACAAAGTATTCGGGGAGGCATTTGAAAACTTCCGGCTGCTGCTCCGGAAGAGGCAACTTAATCGGTTCCTTTGGAAAATTGACGCCGGACACAAGCCTGAGCAGCCAAACGATGACATATCTCATGAACAGCATGGAACGTGCCTGCCATTGGTCGTCGAACAGAACGCCTTGCAGACTGTACTTCAGAGCGAGACCCAAGTCCAGCTTGTCCTTGTATTTCTTCAGAGCCTGTTCGAATACCCTAAGCTGCATTGGATTGTGGATCCATCTGGGTCGCTCCAGCTCAAACCTCCTGATCGTACCCTCCATGTGCCGAAGGTCCTTCTCAAGCTGGTCCAGCTTTGACGTCAGGGACTCACTACCGTAGTGATGAGCAGCAACCGTCAAAAAGAAGATTTCAGTGATGAAGTTGGTAGTCCCTTCTTCTTGCTTTGAGTAGAACGCGTCAGACGCATGCTGATCGGCATTGATCTTGGTTTCATCTTTCATATCAACGCGTGGGTTCCGGTGCAAATACCCCGCATCAATCCTGTCAATCTAAAAACCCGGTAAGCTTAGTGGAAGAGCATGATGAGATGAAAGTGCCAAGCCTACCTTGGTGAAGGTTGCGTCCATGAAAGGTTCACAAAGCTTGTCCAGACATGTTGTGAGATTGAACATGAAACCGTCCGAAGCTACAGTAGTAGGATCCACCTGCATTGCTCTTCGTTTGTGGTTGATGTTCAACGCGGCAGCGAACCAGTCCAGGACTCTGTCTCTTGCCTCCTTATTCGCGCGAATGATATGGTTGACGACATCAAACAGATCTGAGCTAAGCATCTGCTGTATCATTCTCATGGATCTTTGCGCATTTAAGATATATGACTGATCTCGAGTCTTGGGACTCGAGAAATAGGTCATGGTAACATTGCCCTGGAGAGGTGACAAGCGGAACCAGGGACCCAGAAGCGTCTCCTTCTCAAATAACGCTGGATCACGGGACTCGTTGAAAAAAGATGACTCCGTAATAGCAGCGGCAATGACCGGATTACCAACCAGGTTTCGCAGAGCCTAGACAGGTCAGCAACAGGAATCTTGAAGGAAAAAGCGCTAGAGGCATGGTATACTATTAAATAAGACTTGTAGTCATCATTGATAGTCATCGAAGCGAGGTCACGGCTCATCTCCTCTACGGCGGCGATGAAAGCCGGCTTGATGCTTTCGTCTTCCTCAAATCTTTTTACAGCTTCGCCCAAGAACTCAAGATCAACTCCCTTATCATCTTCGGGATCCAGAAGAAGATATGGCTTGAGCGGAGACCGCCCGGATGGCTCGAGCCTAAGGGACAACGGAATCAGCCAATCTGTCGTCCGTTTCGTCAACTGAACAGGGGAGAGGCAGGAACCCACCCGAACATCTCCGGCATCGTGATCGCGAAGATGCAATAGCTCATGCACAGGCGCCGTGCCTCACTGATGACAGCGAATTTTGGGTCATCCTCGCGGGCACGGCGAAAACCCTTGTGCAGCCTTGAGATCCGCCCCCAGCATGGCAACAGATAGTCCAAAGGCTTCTGCTGGGTATTCGAGGCGGCTTCAAGGAGGGCCTGGTCCAGCACAGTCGTGTCGATGCGCGGTTCGCGACCCTGATCCTCAAGTTCGCTTCGCAACCCAGGCAAGTAGATCAACTTGTGCCCATGGATATCCCGCTGCCGGTCTTCCCTCAAGCTAAGCTTGAAGACGGCGCTTAGTGTGCGATCCTCAAAGGATTCAATACTCTCTTCTGCCTTCGGTGGTGAAGGCGTGTTCGATACCGGGGCAGCAGATACTGACCCCGGTGCAGGACTGGCAGGGGCCGAGGGTGTGATCTTGATTCGCTTGCCTTCTGATTCTTGCAACTCCGGCCGAGGCGAAGAAGTTTGTGACCGCGGTGCGCTGCTGATATTTATCTGTGGCTGCGGAGCGTCGAAGGTTTCTTGAGAGGAAGGACTGGGCAGTGAAAGTGTAGAAGGCTGGGTAGAAGGTGTCTCTGGTCCTGACGCATTTTGTGAGGATGAGGATGGATTTCCAAGCTTTGCAAGGCGCTTGTTGCGGATCTGCACAAGGGGCTTTAGTTGACATCCGGCCACAAAACCACTCGATTCGACAACGAGAATCAAGCATTAAAGCACTCACCTTATCCGCATCAGAGAGAGTATCTGACATCCTCTGTTGACGGGGGAGATGTGAACAAATGCCCCAAGAGAAGAGGCTCTGTCAGCGGGGCAAAACGGTGCGGAGAAGATAGAGTAAGCAGTTACTAGTATGACTGATCCCAGAGTGATCACAAAAGGCAACAGTCAAAGGAATATGTACTTTGGAGATATCTGGGCACATCTATGATTTAGTAACAAGAAGGGTAACGACCGGCCAGGCCGATGGATGAATGCTAGTGGTCACTCTACTGTACCGGTGACATTCGGTCATGGTCGCTGAGATTCGCCTGCATGATTAATGCCCTTAACTAAGCCAGGCAGACCGCCCTTGCCATTCCTCCACTTGTTAAACAAGAAAGATAATATATTATATTGTTTATTCACTTATCCCTCTAAAGGACGGTATCAAATGTCTTTGAGTTGATGATTCAATCTCTCATTTCACAGCCGTCGATAAGAAAGTATTTGCACAATAAAAGTAATCATAGGCATCCAGTACTCATCAGTCCATGGGACGCCATCGAAAATCTCCGCCAGTCATTTGCTTCTAATGCAAAACAGAAAAGCGAACAGAAGGAGCAGCGACCAAAAGAAATTGTGAAGAACCAATATCGCGGGTCAAATGAAAAAGGACGTATCTGAGGCTGGCTAATATCTCCCCTTCAGAGAATCTAACCGCCGGCAGCTCTTAAGTTCCATGGACCTCGCCTCCTTCATCTTCTCTACATCTGGGAAGAACCAGCCCTGGGCTTCTTGCATCATCCGGTCCCGAGCATGTACTTCGCTCTCGCATTCGTACCGCAATTTGGTGATATAGTCCACTTCCACTTTTGTGTCCAACTGGCGAAGTTTCTTCGCACTGTAGTCTTCCACGTCCCTAGGATTGACGAAATAGTTGATGCTGTATTTCGGTGTCGTCCGCTGCATGGTGTGAGGGGGTACAGCGGCATCAAATCTGTAGGAAGGACCGGAAGGAGACGACGAGCCAGAGAAAAGAGAGGAGAGCAGAGGAAGCACGAATAGAAGGATAAGGGGGAGTAGTGACTGGAAAGTTGCCCAGCCAGACGGTGCGGCTTCCGCCTGAGCACTGGCTTCGCGAGGTCTTCGTCGCGGTCGGGCTCCTCCAAACTGGTGTACCCGGAAACCTGGACCTCCGCCCATATTGAAAACAAACTGAGGACCTCCTAAATAGCATCCGTAAGCATGAGCCCTCGGAGAAACAAAAGAAGAATGTGAGTTAAGCGTACCGAAAGGACCGAATCCTCCTCCTCCGAACCCGCCATTGAAGAAGCGATTGAACAGCTCCTCGGGCGATATCTCCTCCTCGAACATAGGACCACCAGCACCCGCTGAGCGCGGGAACCCACCACCACCACCAAAGCCACCAAAAGGAGACGCCCCGGACGGCCCAGCACTAGGTGTGAACCTGCTGTCCGGATCTCCACCAAACTTATCATACTTTGATTTCTTGTCCGGGTCCGATAGCACCTGGAAAGCACGAGAGACCACTGCAGCCACATGCATCAGCTACATCCGAGATGCCATCATCCTAGCATCTGAGGAGGAAGAACTCACTCTTAAATGCCTCATCCGCCCCCTCATACCCGTTCTTATCGGGATGTGTCAATAAACTCAATTTGCGGTATGCCTTCTTGATCTCCCCATCCGACGCTGACTTGTCCAAGGCTAGAATCTCGTAGTACGCCGTGCTCGAGCATTTTCGTATCCGGATCACGGCTGCCTTCTGCTCCGCAGTGTATTTGCGATCCTGATTCCCCTGGTTGTGTTCGCGTGATCTGGCTGAACCGCCAGTATCCGTGCCGGATGCTGAAGCGGACGGCATGGTGAAAGAGCGTAACTGATGGGTTTAGCCGTCCAGTCGGGGGTTGAAAATCTTGGCTGGACACCCGCTCCGTCGGTTATCTGTTCTTTCTCCTCCTATGAAGAAAAATCGCTTTGGAGGCGGCGCAAGTTAAAGGCGGCAGAGGGACCGATCGGTGGCCGTAAGCGATGGCAACGAGAGGATAATGCGCCTTCCAGACGGTAAATAGAACTGTGTTGAGGTGTTAACAGCGAATAAAGATGAATAGCGTCAATTTGACCCTAGGGTTGTGATGGTTGGTCTCCCTAGCTCTGGAAGATAAACGTGGTGTCTTTTTCGGAGTTCAGATGTTGACGCTAAGCCGCGGGCTAGGCCTGTCAGATTATCACTCTCCCGGCGGTAGCTTTGAGTATTTTATCTATCGAGCAGACGAGCTAGAGCTACTGTCGCACGACTGAGCATTAATCTGAAGACAATCCCCATAGTCCTTAATTGAAAGATCTCCTTGCTTCTCCTTCTATAACCTTCGTTCATTATTAAACCTTTATCTAGACATTCCTAGTCATCCGGAACAATGGCTGGCGAAGATCCAACGGAAAAGGCGAAACAGTCACTCATGCAACGAGCCAAGGCATGGGGAGGTAAGGACCCAGCTTGCAATGAACTCCACGATCTGTGATGAATTCCAAAATCCGATATAGTAACAAGAGTCTAATCAACGTGTATGCCTCTACTTCTAGAAAACCCATTCCCTCCCACTCTCCTGGCGTCTCTCATCACCGCGCAGCACATGCGTCCCTTCCAGTTCATGCCAATGCTATTTCCTCCGGTCCTTCTATTCACAAGCTATGCGAATATCCAGGGCTTCAAGACAGACAGCGCAGGGATCAGCGCCGCATGGTCAGGCCTCTATCTTCTCCTTGCAGGTCGGCGACGGCAGCCATTGATGAAGAAATGGGGCGCGCGGGGAATTGTTCGCGGCACGACCATGGGTCTTTGCCTGCTCAATATGGTGGGCGGTGGATTGGCTTATACCCTGGGGAAGAGAGAAGATCATGATGAGTGAAAAGACGATGGCACCGTGACGTTGTATTTCTATTTGATGCTAGGTATATGATGTGGAGTAGGGTGTTCCGGTTGGGTTGTTTGCCTCAGTATATATGCTTCGGGGTGGTTGGGTCGTGTATAATACGCGAAATAGGTGGTAAAAAGTCATTACGCTACGATAGCGCCGTCTGAATTTACTCCAAGTACCCATAGACGGCGTGAGTTCGGCTACTCGGCGTACGGCCGCTGAGACAGGATGTATTCCCGGACGCTCCGAGGGATCAACCAGTCGAGATCCTGCGAATTCGTCTGAATGGCCTCGCGTGCTTTCGTTGAGCTCACGGGCCTCTCACCCGGCTTCTTCCCTTCTACAAGCTGTATACGCTGCGCCCACTCACGCTTGCCGCCTTCATTCTCCCGGCCGCCCTGAGCCAGGTGGAGCAGAAAAGCCTTTTGCTCTTCCTTGCTACCCCATTCATCACCGGGACGCATGGTGACCCGTAGTCTATGTTGAGAGAGGAAGGGCCCCAGCGGTTGGAGGGTATGTTCCGGGGGATAGTACTTGGGGTTGAAGATCCGGATCAGAGTGTCGTAGCCCGTGAGATGGACCTGCTCCAAGGATTTTGGGTATATGCCTGACTGTTCGATCTCCGCCGCTTTATCCACGAAGTATGGTTTCTTTGTCACTCCAATGTCGATCTGTTGGAGGCGCGCATTTGCCGGAGAGGACGAGATTGTCCCTAAGTGCGATAACAGGTCCTGCGCAAACAACTCCATCATAGCCAGACGGTCTTCGAAGTTGGCCGGCTTGGATGGCTTATCGGCGTTCTGGGTAGCGAGGAGTAGTAGCAGTCGTGACGGGACACTGGGTTTTTCGAGAAGGGCTGAGCTTGCGATCCTCAGATGAGCGAGAGTTGGGGGGTTGAATGATGAGTCCAGGACATAGAGTATGTCTGGGGCCTGCGAAGGCTGTTTTTGCTCTTGTAGTTGGTTCGACGGGACGGAGTTGAGTATCTCGAGGTTCCTGGAAGAAGCGATGAAACGCTTCAACGCGGCTTGGTATTGTGATCGAAGCGCCTGGTATGAGTTGCTCGCCATGACGGTTGACTATGGTAGTCAAATTGACTAGCAAGAAACTTATGACCTGTTGATAGTGAGGAAGGGCTGTTCAACTAAGGTAACAACCATCCAAAGAACGCTTGATGCAGTCACGTCAGAGGCGGCTGACGGCGTCCACTGGTGGGGTCATTCTGATAAATCCAAGGTTAAGAAGGCGGGCGGCTGCAGTTCCAGAATGCGCAGCCCACGGCACAACGAGGGCAGATATCGAAGGTAGCAACACTCATCTTTTCCTTCAGATGCACTTGAAGAGCCAGTTTAATGGCTCTATCCAGGGTCCAGGATAGATTTTAGATCTTGATGTTGCCATGCACGCCTCTAGGGTCAGTCTGCTCGGCAAATAACTGGTCTGTGTGCCAGGGGCCGTATGACAAGCTCGTAAGTTGTAACAGCTTAATTAACACGGAGACGATCATAATCATGGGTCATTGGCCTCACGAATCACAGCTCCATGAGAGCAAATTCGGACAGCCTGGAAGAGTCTTTGATTCCCACACTGGGGCCCGAGGCCCGATGTCTGGAATCTGACCCATCTCGAATCTCAAACGCGGCACAAGTATGGAGCAGATACTCCGTATTTGCTTGGGGAATATCGTCTGAATCGTGTTTCAAAAGTATAACGTGTCAATACTTGGGGGTTCTGAATCATCTGATGCTTCTGTGGTCATAATTTTGAAAGTTCTTCGGAGGGACAGATATCGAGCTGTATGTCAAGTACCTTAATCCCTGGTTGGGCCAATTATATACTCCAGGTATAGTGACATATTATTGATGCTAGTTAAGTCTATCATATCATTGTCTTAATTAGGATCACGCTGTAGGCGTGAGTGTTACATAATTCAAAACGGGGTCAGGCGACGCAAAGTCTCGCTCTCAACCCTCAAGGCCTCTGTGGTTCAGTATCACCGTCACTGGCCGACGTCAAAGCCACTTCCGAATGTGAAACAATATTGGCGTAGGGTGGTTAACATGAGACCAAGCGAGGAGGAAAGCCACGAAAGTAACAGACTGTAGCACAGGTCCTTCGCACCTCGTTTCAACTCAGCCTACGGACTGCCCGGATAGATGCCACGGGTCGCCAATTCAATCTGTCTACTCTGGGCAACTGAAAAAAACTAGCCTACTCTGTAGACGTTGGTCATTTGAAAAAATGCCGCGACTCCAGAACAATTTGCTCGTTGTCTAGACTCTCTATTATTCTCCACCTCGAACCGACAATCAGTACGGGAGTAGACTATCCATTTTCCAAGCCTATCGATCCTCGCTTGCCGGCATGATGACTGTTGATCGGCGACTGTCAAAGCTCGCAATTTACCGTAGATGGTTGCATGTCGCTCAAGCTACTCCATAATAGACGCGGAAATGGCACTATTTAATTGACTCCGAAGACGCACCCTCATTGTATGTGAAGAAATAGATAGTTGCTTCTGTATCTCACGACCAGAAAAGGGGGAAAGGGGCATAGAATCCACCGGAACCAAGAGTTATGCCCCGTCGTCAGTATTACCGGTAGAGCTACTTCCTTCATGCAAATTAGACGGGAGGACCTGAGTTAATAAGCTCGGCCAGAGACACGGAATGTGTTCACCTCAGAGCAGATCAAAATGAACTTGCCATTGCAGGATCCATTGTTTATATCCTTTACAGCTAAAAAGTTATGCACTGTTGGGTCTCGGACTGGGAGCGGTACATAGTATCATCCTTTTCGCAACTTCTAATTCCTTCGGGGCTTCGCCTCTCGGGACAGTGCCACTTCGGGAAGTATCTACTTAGTACCCTCGTGGACTACTCCGTACACGAATGGCCAGCGCATGCTAAAGTCTTGAACTTGGTAACTTGGCATTTAGATACCTCCAGCAATGCCATCTGTCTAGAATTTCTTCTACCAACTCTATCCCTCGTAAACCTGTGCCGTGTCCTGAATGTATCTGGATACCGGCAAACCGAACGGACGAGAGTGGAAAAAGGAGGGACAACGAGGTACGTAAAGGTAAGCTACCAAGGAAAAGATCCCACCACAGCAACGGAGAAAGACAGCGTGTGTGCCACGGACGGGAGGCAAGCGGAGAGATTAAGCAAGGGGCACCAGCCAATCACAAATCACCAGTACAGCATGAAACGGGCCTTCATCTCAGGCTGCAGCCAATCTGCGTGCGGTTCCTGAGCTTGGACCCACCGCAGTAATTGGATATTACTTCCATCCTTTGTGTCAGATACGGAGAATAATCCATAGAAAGGGGTTATCACCAACAATATCAGAATAATAACTTCTAGGAGACATTTTTTGGCTTCCTAAGAGGTCAAAATGGCTATGACACACTACCTATCTGATGCCTGTCCATGTTGAAGTACAACATCACAACATGATACAGAGTTTAGCCTTTTTACCGTCGATTTGGTCCTTTTAGCTTCTCCACTTGAGCGCCACCCACTTCCGAGTCTTTTTAACTTCGGATAGTATGAGGATTATCTAGTTTAGTCTCAGTGCAGGCTGCAGGCTGTACCAGGTACCTTACCTGCTTGAAGCAACTACACGGGCTGTTTGTACCGTGTATCAGATACGGGATGCTTGCCGTAGAGACAAATAATCATATTCATAATTAAAATTTAATTAGTTTAATTTGAATCCTAAGGCTATAACCAATACTATACTAGTCTGTGATGTACCAATATGCCCCTCCCTCCTTTTAATTCCCCTACATCAGCATCCGGTCTCCCTCTTCTCTTCTGGGCTTTTTCCTTTTCATCCAGACTGTCTGCGGCCTTCACTTCTGCTTCGTGTCAGAGATCATTCCTTTCTCTACACACAGCCACTCTTTCTATCGGTTGCGAATAGATTTCGCTTCCCCCACACTCGTTTTGAGGCACAGTCTTCTCGTCAGAAAGAACAGAAAACCAAAACATTCTAAAGGTCCGCAAAGGCATTGATTGTCATTGTGCGATACATCATTGAAAATGCAGTTCACAAGCAAGCTTTCCGTCGCTCTTCTGGCCATCCTGGCTGCCGGTGGTGAGGCCAACCATCAGGCTCTCCATGGTCGCAAGTTCTTTCACCCCAGAGGCTTGAACTCGACCACTCCTGCTTCTACCTCGACTGTCGTTGTCTACCCGACTCCGATCGAGTCTTCGTCCGCTGCTGGTGGCTCGATCTCTGCAATCACCACCTCGACCGCCATCCCTCTCAGCACTGGTGCCCCTGGATCTGGTGGCTCCGGCGACGACAATGGTGGCCAGGACGTCACTATCACTTACACTCTGGGTGCTGGCAGCACCAAGTCAGTCGTCACCACTACTATCCACAAGACCTCGACTGATCTCCACACTGTCTACGCTGTATGTCGCATTGATCATTCCACTACTTTAGTCATTGCAACCGATTGACTGACTTCCCGTATCATAGACTTCCTCTGCTGATGTTACTACAATCTCTTCCACCTCTACCACCACCGCTACTCTGATCGCTATTTCTTCCCCTACACCTGGTTCTGGCAGCTCGGGAAGCGGAGACAGCTGCAAGCCGGAGACTGTCACCGTCACTGCTACCGTCACTGTGGTATGTATTTGATTCCATTCATGTCTCAGCGCGTCTTCGGTGCTAACGCAACGCAATTGTAGACTGCTCCTTCAGCTTCCGCTCCTACCCCCGCCGGTAATGACGGCGACCTCGAGGACAGCGGCGCCAACGAGCACTACTCTGACAATGACGAGGATGACAACGATGAGGATGACGATGAGGAGGACGATGAGGAGGATGACTGCGAAGATGAGGACGACAACGAGCCCACCACCAGTGTGCCCACTCCCACTGCTCGCCCTCCCTATGGCTACGGCAACGGCACCATTCCATTCCCCAGCGGCGCCCCGAAGCCCACTGGTTTCAAGACCAGCAAGCTGCCCTACCCCACCGGCTTCCGCCGCCACTAAGTTAGCCAGCCTGGTGCGAGTCGCCGGGTATCCGAATCCGTGACAATGGCCGTTCTGTAACCGAGAGATCATCGATTCCGAGGCGAAATGCGCACGCTGGCGTTGTACCTCTTGAACGAGGGATTCTCCTCCTTTTTCTTTCTTCTGGTACAAACTTAGTTCGGGCACAAACTTCATTTAGACGTCTTTTACTCTTCTTCCGTTCTCATCTTATCCGGAGGGGGAGAAATCTTTCTACACCCTTCTGGTGCTTCTTTTACTTTCTCTCCCACGAAGCGGATCAGGCCAGATCTCGCTGATTTAACCAACAAAGTTGCTTCTTTTGCAGTTTATGGAGACGCTTCCGGCTGAATTTCTGTATTCTCAACGGTCATTGGTCACATCTGGCGAGACTCGGATACTCGACATTGTTCAGCGACAGTGCTTTGATGCAAATTGTATGAACTACTTCTGATCTGCCGGAATGACGTAGAGACGCACGCTACTGCATTCCGGCGGAGTGACGATCTCAATAGACTATGTAGCGAGCGAATCCATTTCTATGATTCCTATTGCGCTTGCCTGCCTGTAACAGGGACAGTAGCGTAGCATTGTACTCAGTATGATGTTGATTGCTTGTTAGACCCTTGCACTTGACCACCACGGATCCTATATTCAGTTATATGCAGAGTAGCATGCAACGATATTTCATGTCTGGAGTAGACTATCAGATTTATAAACATCATCTATTATACAGGGTATCACATATATCAAAGCTTTCCACTCTCCAACTGCAAGACGGCATCCAACCCCTCTGTCGAAATCCGCTGCCTCATAGCCTGCCATTCCAACCAAGTCACACCCTGGACCAGACAATCCGCCAGGTCATCCATCTTGCGTACATCCGGGGGTTCAACCACAGCCCCGTCTTCCTCTACCGCAGCCTGCCCTTCGGCCTTAGCCCTAGCCCTCGATACTGACCTCCCAGGATTCGATTTGCTAGCCCACCGCCGCAAATACGCATCGACCAGAGCCCGAAGCTCAGGATCATCCGCGACAGACAACTGAAACGGCGAGCCCGAGGCCGACCCCGAGCCCGCCTCCTCGCCTCCCATCCCAGCACGCAACCACTCCCCCGCCAGATTGATCTTGATCTTCTTCCCTTCCCTCGACGAAGCCTTCTTCTTCTTCGGTGCGTCCACATCCACTCCCAACCGACCCTCCCAATACGCCCCCACCCGCCTAGGCTCAACACCCAGCACCACCGGCCGCATCCCCGCCTCTGCTCCCTCCCCAGCCTGTCCCAGCGCATGCAAAACAGCATACAACATCCCCTCAAACACACCCACCCGCAGCGTCCACTCCTGCACCGCGCTCCCACCCCCCGAGCGAAACCGCTGCCGCTCGATGAGTACATGGCTGGGCCGGTACGCGTGCAGCAAGCCCGTGACGAGCGCGTACGCCGTGCGCGCATACTCGGATGGGGAGAATGTATGTTTCTCTTTCTCTTTCACCTTTCCTGGGAGCTTCGATGCATTGGATGCACGTCCCCCTTCGATCTTCCCCAGGGAGTCAGGGGCTGGGTCAAGTAATGCGTCCGAGACGGCTAGCCGGCGCCATGCGTTTAGCTTCACTACTGTCCCGGCGGTAGCTGTATGGCTATCGCGCGGGACAAGAAGATGCGCGTATGCGAGGTTCTGAATCCCCATGTCGATGCTCAGGATACTCATCGCGCCTGTATTTGTGCCTGGGCTTGTGCGTGCGCATGTACTAGTCTGCTTCTCTGGTTCTCGCTGCGGCAGCTCCTCCTTCAAGCGGGCGATGAGACATGCCTTTGTCCCTGAGGACTGAATCCCCGTTGCTTGGGCGATGCGCTGCAGCTGGGATGCTCTGAGGCTGTTGAGCCAGGTGTATGAGCTGAGGTGGCGTGATGATATGCGCATTTTCCTTTTTCCATGGATGGCATTGTTATTGCATTGCCCGAGTGAGTTAGTTGCTGTACTCCGCAGACTCGTAGTAAGGTGTTATGCAGGGCAAGTTAGACTCCTGCTTACATAATCTGCACTTCTTATGCAACTATGCTACAATATGTATACCTATGTCTGATGATCGATATTAATATTATAATAAACTCATTCTAATCGAACTAATGGCATATACCAGGTTGGTACCACCTCTATCAAGTATGCGAAAACACCCAGCCCAGAAGAAGGCAAGGCTTTTTGATCGAATGCCCTTCCCATGTGGACGCCATGACCCGACAAGAACTGATGCAAGACGCTGAATTGCAAGCCACAAGAAAGGACAAGAAACGAATGACGAAACATGACCCGGAACTCCGCTCTGTGCCACCCGAAGAGATGAAGCCAGCAAGATGACAGTGAAACTCCAAGTGAACGACCGAATTTAAAAAAGACAAGGTATGACCGTATGCAGTAATGCTCATGTGGTCGCAAATCAGACCCAAATGCGCAGTACTGCCGTTACCACTCTGCAGCTGGCAGACTACTCGCCATGTCAGTCGGTGACAGGCTCTGGCGCACGTAGAGGATGGGCGCCCAGACCCTCCAGTGCAGGACACCAATATGTGCTAGTCGCATCGATATCCGCTCAATGTCGTAGTGCTGCGGGAGTGGCGAATGCGAGTAGCTTCGTTGGGACTCGCAGATCGCCAGAGGCGACATGTTGAGGTACTTTTTGGCAAACGCAAACGTGGAGGCTAGCAATTTCTGCCGCAGCGCGTTCTGAAAGTACTGGAACAGCTCCGACGCCTCGTTGGACAGATGCCACTCCAACGTCGCTTCGATTGGTGCGATAACAGCATCTGAGACCATGGAATCACCAGAGCATGCTGCGCACGCAAACCGTGCAATCTCCAGGGCGATCCCCCGCACATTCTTCAACCATCGCGGCGACCCCCGCCGGCAGTCTTCGTTCTCCTCCATCAATGACCCAATTCGCGAGCGAAAGCTGGCATATGTTTGAGCCGGCGCGGACAAGTACCGTTTCTGCGTATGGACGTATGATTCAAAGATGAACCAGCATATATCCAGAGTGATAAGATTCTGGAGACCAGACCGGAGCTGCCATAAGCGGTCCGAGTCGAAGACGAAGGTTTCCGGGAAACCTTCAGGGCCGTGGAATTGTAATAGGATATCAGTTAATCCGTGGAATAATAAGGAGATAGGAAGGAAGCTGTCGTTTTGTGCATTTTTGCCCAGGTTGCGTAGCTCCTGCTCCCGTACGTCCAGATACCATAGCCGCGAAGCCTCTACGCGAAAATTGTCTCTGGCTATCTTACTCCGGAAGTACTCTTGCAGAAATGGGACAGTGTCTTCGATTAGGAGAACCCGAAAGGCGCGGATCTGGTGATTTGCCACATCCTAGAGGGAACAAAGTCAGCATATGTACCTTTCTGTGTAGAACCAAAGCGGCCAAGCCTACCAATTTCATAGCCTCCAAAATGGCAAAGAGGGTCTGCAGCCCGCGGACAATCTCCATGGAGTCCTGCGATTCCGAGCCAGAACTGATCTGCTCAACCATGCGGTCTGCCCATTCGTCTCGCATCGGAGCGCAATGTGTTTTGAGGAGCCTGGCTAGCCAGTTGGCGATCCCAACCATGTCGAGAACTCCCTTCCGGACCTGCTGCATCAGCAGAGCCACCTCTAGGTTTTGCGTAACAGCCGGGTGATCGCGCTCCGGAACCAAGGTTTTGAGGACGTCTTGTAGGGTTTCGAACATGGCGGGCAATCGGGGCTCGAACGTCTGCGGGAGGTCATCTTGCTGGTCGTCGTTTGTTGTGTCCTCAGTCTGGTTTGCGCAAAAAGCATAGATTGCTATTTCGGCAGCCATCGCCTCCCAGTAATCTCCCGCTTCTTTCCTTTTCCTTCTGCCTTTCTCCCCATCTAAATCCGGCTTGAAATGTAGGTCGCGATCGAAGTTGGCGTCCATTCGAAGGTTGATATTGCTCATGATGCAGGGCAAGTCGAGCTCGCTCAGTGTTCTCTTAGTGACTGGAGGATATCGTTTGGCTTCCTGGAGTAGTTTGTGCTGTTTCGCGCTCAATTCTAATGCTTTCGGTATCTTCATCGCTTCAGACGAAGGAGGCGGAAGGGTCGGCGGCATCGCCTAAGTCGCATCTGAGTTAGTTTGGCGAGAACTATAAAGATGGGAAGATCCACTCACCGAGCATGGTTGGTCTGTCCTCGTGCTATCTTTGCCGCTGTTTTTGTGTTTGGTTGCATCGCGATGATCCAGAGAATCGGTCTCGAGTGAGTCAATTGAATGACGGCTTCCGTTGTATGCTTCTAGTGGACACCCCGTTCCTTCTTCTTCCTTCCCCGGCGCATTGCGACTCGCCTCCTTTGTTTTCTGAAGATCCATCTCCATCCGATCAGCGGTCCCGAGGCGTTAATGTTGATAGTGAACAATGATCAATCCTCTGGAGAGCGGTATAGATCTGTCTGGGCGTCGCGGATTTAATTGTACGATTCGCGACCACTGAGCAGTCCAATCCCTCCGATGTAATCAAGACACCATAGCCCTGGACACTTTGCTAGGTCGATCAGCTATCCCTTCCATTAGCCCTTTGGTCAGTCCTTGCCTGGGGCAGTTGGGGTCAAGGCGGAGGAAGGGGTGAGGGGGATAAACATACTTGCCTGGTGCTTGTCAACGGATGTAGATCGCAGGCGGTGATCGCAAAAATGGGGCACCAGGTTTCAGATTAGATCCCAGGATTGATGTTTTGATCGTATATTTTCCTAGATTAGATCTTGCGCAAATGCAATCCTTCTCCCCGAGGCGTTGCTAGGTAAGGTCGACTCCGAGCAGCTCTGCTATATAGCCAGGCACGAGTGAGAGATTTGAGGGTAATGACAATACAGACAGTGAAGAGTGTATGGAAATATTGAGGAAGGATACGTGGAGAATAAGCAACGACAGTTGAAGAGTTAAAGGGCCTGAGATAAGAGCAAACAAAGTGGAAGCAAGCGATCTACTGCAGCGCAGCGCAGTGACGAAGCGGTCCAAAACTCCAAAGGGAACCAAAAGGAGAGGTAAAGATCAAAACTGGCAAAGCGACCAGGAGAAAGTATGTTGATATAACCAATGGCAAGAGAAGCAGATGTTTTCAGTAAGACAGTGTAGGCATTCAAAGGTACTCTGAAAATGGTCACGCATGCACTTGGAGACTGGGGATGGAGAAGTGAGGGAGACCCTCCGAGCGCACGATCACAGCACCGCAGCGGAGCCAGAGAGCAGAAGGGAAACGTGAATCATGGAACCTGGGGCAGAAGGAATGGAAAGCTACAAGGTCGAATCGGGAACAGTCGTCTGTAAACGCAAAGGGTAAGGCAGGAAAGTGAGGCTGCTCAAGAGTCGAGAGTTATGGACGCATTCAGCTACTGCATGAACTGGGACGGAGAAGCCAACAGTGGATAGAAGAGGGAAAAAGGTTTAGATTTCATGTTTAGGTTAGTTCGGACTGGAGAGAAGAACAAGCCATGATGAAGTGAGCTGGTATCAGAGTGGCTGATTGATTGAACCCCTGAGCGAAGCCCGGATGGGCGTTGTGAGGACAATAGATGTCGCTACATACAGAGTAGATGACTGTCTACAAGTAGATAGACTACTCACTACAGAGTACAGGGGATTTGAGTGTGTCCGTCTAGACCAAGACGGAGGAGTTATGGAGGGATTATCCACTAGTTCCTTAGTCCCCTTCCTTGAACAGCGCCAGATTCGGTGACGGTGTTGTGGACTTGTGGCTCTTGTGGGTCAGGAGAAAAAGAGGGTACGTATGTGGAGAGTTAGACTACGTACTATTATTATTGAATTTACTTACTCGGCATCTACGGGAGTACGGACTCTACGGAGTATATCATATTCAAGGTTTCTTGAGGAATGACCAGGTATGGAATTGATACGATGATCTCAGGTGGTGCATGATCCCGCATTCATTTTTGGCGACATCCAGCATTCCAGATTATGGCGAAGTACCATCGTTTCTTTATTGTGCCAAGTTAGAGTCTACTAGAGGGATGATCCCAGACCAGACCTCTGCAAGACCGCAATAAGCACAAAAGTTCGCCAGAGGCAAATGCTGGTACCCGATAAATGGTGGACATGCACAGCGAAGCGTAAGTGACAGGTCAGGAAAAAGCCACGGAGATGGAAAGCATTGGAAAAGAGGGAAAAGCAAAGAAATTATTGATAAGAAGACGGTACCTATGGAGGACCTCTGTACTTGAGCGAGTCCTTCTCTGCCAGTTGCCACTGATCTTCGCCAGTGGAAAACCACTGACGACCAATTGTTGTCACAAAGTGATAAACCACGAGCAAGCGCAATTGCAAGTGCAATGGCAATAGATGGATAGCTACAAGCAAAAAATTCTACTGCCGATGGTAGCCTGGACGAGATGCGCAGACCGATGCGGCTTGCCGTCTGCTCACAAGCAGAGTGTGTTTCACCCAGTGGGATAGTCGAGATAGGTCCCATTACGGAGTACAGTCGGAGTACAATACTCTCACCCCGCTGACCAGCTGGATCCGTGATGGGATGGGATGGGATGATGCTTTTGCTTTTCCCGTTTTGGCAGGCAATATGGAGTAGGAGGCAAGGAGATTCAAAGCAGGGGGAAATCGATGAGGAGAGCCTTGGCGATGGATTTCCTAAACGGGCGTGATCGCAAACATTCCACATCGCCCAATGCATCATCTCATTAAAGGTGATGGGTTTCATCGCCGGATCCAGGCTTATTTCTGGGATCATCTACTACTCTCTTCCACGGAGTTTATGTAGAATAGTCTACTCTCGTTTCTAACTGCTTATCCTCAAGTAACTCCACCCAATGTTACTTAAGTATTAATAGCCCACAAGCAAAATGACTGAGTCCGTCATTTTGCTGATGTCAGTCAAATGGTTGTCTTCTGAGTCCTGGGCCTCCGTTCACAGCTTCGGCACACTGGGCCTGTCACTGCAGAGATAGATGTCCAGGATGGCATGACCGCGACCGACTGAGCTTCGCAAGCATCTGAAGGCAAAGCATCTCTCAATCTGTTTCGGCGGCAGTTCCATCATCACAACAACGCCTTGCGCGTGGCAACTCTCGTCTTCGTGAAGGTTTCAGATTATCCTCGTGACGTGTGAGGTTTAGCTTCTACGGAGTAGTTGGACGGGAAACGGAAGGTTGATCCTCTTCAACTTGGTGTCCAGTTGTTCACACTTCACCCATCAAGCAATTGCTACGTCCCGTAGATGATGGCTCATTGCTGTTTCCAAAACAGAGATAGTATCAATGCGACCGACCGGAACAGTGTTGTATTATTACGGACTAAGGAAATTACCTTCAAGTGCATCAAGTTTCCGGGAACATTTCAGGAGGAAGTCCTGCGAGTGCGCCTGGGGATATCTTGGTATTCTGTGAACAGGAATGAGGCTGGTGATCGGCGGAATATACATAGATACGTAGAGGCTAGTAAATCAATTTGCGAGGTGGTTAAGATCATCCCACCGTTACGTGATCTGGAGCATCTTTCGAGTACTTCACATAAACAGACGCCGTGCCAAAGGTGAGTACTGACCGCAAGAGACATCTCCAGCACACGCGCTTGACGCCTCACTTTTGCAATGCAGTGCGAGTGCACTGATCACTTCCCGCGTGGTCGCCTCATTTCGGAGCTCAGCGGAGGAGAGTCAATTGGGGAAAGTCAGGTTGTTGACACTTCGATATTGACTGTCAAACGAGGATTCGGTCAGCGTTGGTCGAAGACAACGGAAGGATTCCGCTACGGTGACAGAAAGTTGAAACAGACGTGGTCGGATAAGGATGAGCTACCTACTGTACGGCTGCAGACACCGACATTTCAACTAGTAAGGTAGGTTCTTTAGCTGATTATCCTGTTCATAGGCTGCATCATGCCGAGATTCTCCTTGTCACCTACTCAGAGTTAGTAGTATTGAGAGCAGAATAGTCCTCCAATTGATTAGATGGCGTCAAGATGCTCTTTGGCCCAGTTTCCGTGATGTCAGCCATCCTATCCAAGGCCCTAACTCCGAGCCCTATCCTCACCACGTGATCCTTAACTGCCCGGTAGCCTCAGGCAGTCAACAATCTACCTATCTACATCACCCACCGAATAGAGAGGACTACAGCGACTACCTTACAGCTCATTCAAAACTATCCATTCGGGTCATACTGTAGCCCATTGCTTACATGAGATTAAGAAGAGAGAGCTAACATGAAGCCGCGTGTCTCTTTATTGTCCACCTCTATGTGTGGGCAACTTTGTTCGATTCCGACTCAATAAGCAGTCTGCTATTGAGGTCAACATCGGGATAGTCTCAATAGAATCATCCATTCTTCAGAACACCAGTGGCTCACCAGCATGGCTTCTATTCAAAATTTTTTGCTCCCGAGCTCCTCTTATGACTTACTGTACATAGAATATTTCTGGCAAAGAAATGTATCGGGCTTTCTCTCTGTGCTCCAGTCTCGTCTTCTTTCCTTCATGTTGATATCAGATTGATGCGATATATCGTCGACATCGGATAGCGTCATGAATGTCGCTGCTATACTTTCTCTTTTTCACACAATATGGGCTGTGCCTATGCTGTTGCTGTCGACGGCGCCTCGAACATCCGTAAATGTCTCACAGTTTGAAGTCCTGCCGTTGCCCGATAGTCCTACTTTGCCGCGCAGCTGGGCTGGCCGGCTACCTATTCCCGATACAGAGAAAGGCAATTCCATCTTCTTCTGGCTCTTTGAAGCCCAGGACCCCGCATATGATGAGAATCTGATCAGTGTGTTCTCCGACCCTGCATTTCTTCACTGGACATCTCAAACGCTGACTCGTTCCAAACAGTATGGTTCAATGGTGGACCGGGTTGTTCGTCGCTGATAGGGTTGATGACAGGCAACGGGCCTGTCTTGTTCGATGGCAATACCACTCATCTCATTGAGAACCCACAATCATGGACGAAGCTTGGCCACGTTCTCTATGTCGACCAGCCCGCAGGAACGGGGTTCTCAACGGCAAGCAACCCATATCCTGTCCGGGACAATGACCGGGTAACCTCGGATTTCTACAAATGGCTGCAGTCCTTCTTTTCTCACTTTCCCAATTTTCGTGCCAAGCGTGTCCACATGATAGGGGAATCGTACGCAGGAATCTACATCCCGTACTTTGCTTATGCCATCGCGGAGAATCAGGACGATTACCCGATCGATCTCCGTTCCATATCTCTAGGGGATGGCACCCTGGGCAATCCTGCTGCCATGACAGCCGTCACAGTTAGCACGTTTCTTGAATCCAAAAAGAGCTTGCTGCAGATACCAGGCGAGATCTTGTCCGCCTTCACGCAAGCCGACCAGACCTGCGGTTTCACAACCCTCCTACAACAGGCCAATCAGTTTCCTCCGAAGGGCAAGTTCGAGATCGTAGGGGACCCAGAAAACCTCAACTACAAACACCGGCATCGCCGACACCAGTTTCAGCAGTACCGGCGCCGCGATCTGCGAAACGTAATGAATGGAACGTGCAACAACCACCCTACCACCCCAGAGCAGGTTAGCTCGTCCATCCTCAACTCAACCTGCTACGGCTCCTGTGCGACCTTCTCCACCGCCATGAACTACCTAAACGCTGTCTCCGCCGCCGGCACAGGGAAGCGCTGCTTCGACGTCTACGATATCACGAACGACTGTACCATGATAGACCCGCTCGGTCTGATGGCCTCGTATCTCAGCCGTGGCGACGTCCAAGCCGCTCTGAATCTGCCCCCAGCACCAGCCGGCCTGGCGTTCGCACCCTGCAACAGCACCATCCTCGACACCCTGCTGCTAGCCGTTCCGCCCACGCCCCCGGCGTACACCATCCTCCCTTTCCTCGTGACCGAGCACAATATCTCCGTCCACGTCTACTCCGGCGACAATGACCTGCTTCTCAACCACCTCGGCACAGAATTGGTCCTCCAGAACATGACCTGGGGCGGCGCGCAGGGCTTCTCGCGGAAACCCCATCGAATCTTCTATGCAGATGACGCAGCGCCGGCCTTGCGTGGTTCTGACGCTTGTGATGTCGATGTTAGCCATGATTCTACTGCCCCGTCAGAAGGAGGACAGCGTTGTGTCCCGGCGGGCATTTGGGCCTCGGAACGCGGAGTCACCTACCATCTCTTCCGAGGCGCTGGGCACAGCGTGTTCATGAAGAAGCCACGGGAGATGTTCGCCTATGTGCGGGATGTTGTCGTTGCGCATGCAAATGGCTGACTTGTGGCACATCAAAGCCACTCTTTGACTTGTCCATCTACAATCAGAAAATACAGAACGCTCTCATTTTACTTTTTCACAAGAGTTCCTCATGTGATCCACTATTCGTAATGCAATTGAGCCGGTACATCTAGTCGCATTTCCTTCCCATCATCCATTCATGAAACCAAGCAGACACGCACGCTATGCAAAGATTTTGTAAAGATACATATCAAACGCTAAATCATAACTCCAAGTTCCTTGCAGCTCTAACGCAGATCTTTTCCTTTTGATCCCCATTTCTTTTAGCTTTTTTTTTGGTGGAAAGAATGAGACGAACAAGAATGCAAGAACAAGGGAAAATGGCTTAGAAGATGAGACATTTAAATCGAGATCTGAAAACCATGTAGGTGTACAAGTGAGAATATCATTGGCGTAAGGGGGCATAATAAGTGCCGAACCAGGATCTTGCATGGCAGCACGTCAAAGTGGACCAGCATGTCCAACGTGGGATGGCGACGCATCTTCCCGGGTTAATAGGGAAATCACCTCCAGATAGAAGAGACAACTGTATCATCTCAACGCCGACTGAAGAAAGGTGCCTGGTTCGGCATTGAGAGGAGTGAGTCCGCCCGCTGAAATACGTCGCCCTCGAAGAATTTGTCACTATACGCGCTAGCAGGGGTTGATGGTACAGTTGCCTGCGCGGCAGGACCAAGAGCAGCGCTCAAGGGGGTAGCGGGAAGGTGAACAGATTGCGGGGAGAGATTTGAGTTGACGTGTAACACGTTGGAACTGGACCCGGAAGTTTGATGTTGCGAATGCTGCGATTGCAGCGGCGGTCCGTATATGTTTGAAGGTCCGTTTGCAGGGGTCATGTCGGTGAGGTACGACCATGGAGAAGCTTCGATCAGCCGACTAGCTTCCCTGCTGGCCCTCTGAACTGGGCGGAGGACAACGATGATGTCAGAAGGCAACAGGTGCATGCTTCTGACCTCTTTCATATCAGTCACAAGATCAACGAATGACTGCATGAACGCTTTGCACAATTGCCAAAACTCGCGCTGGTTGCGCATCCCCCCGCCCGGCTCTTTTACCTTCATGTTGGAAAGACGCAGCCCGAGCGCCTCAGAGACTTCAAGGCAGACACGGCAACGGCGAATGAGGTTGTTCCAGAGCATTTGAAGCCCTTCGGATTCTCGACTCTGCTCCGCTAATTCGAGACATCGCACGAACTGGCGGCGCGCTAGAGGTAGCGCCTGAAGGGCAGCAGTGTATGCAGCAGATAATTGGTGAAATATCTTCTCAAAAATGCGCTCCTCCTCAATCTCGTCCAAGCCAGTCAGTGGGTTAATTCGAGGTACTACTGAGGTCGGTATCGGGGGGAATGTTTCCCCTGAACGGGGTGTCGCAAGTGATGAAGGCACGGATGAGTTAATGAGGTTGGACCTGCTGCTTGACCGGCTCCGCGCTCCCAGGCTATAAGGTGTTGATGCAAAACCTGGGGAGCTAACCGCCGACTGATAGTTCGCCGCTGCGGGTAAGGGCCCATTAGTGGTGATTCGAGGGTGTTGTATCGTGGTATCACTCCTGTAGCGGCGCACTGACATGGACCGATCACCGCGTGTCGGGGTCACGGTCGGCCCACAGAATCGATCCGGCAGGGCAGGCTCTTTAGTGATTGCGGTCACTGGCGTCTTTCCTGCCGAAAGCCGCTTCTCAGATTGCAGCGGAACCCCCAAACTCACGCAGGCGTTGCGAAGCTCAATGATGCTCCCGTGGATCATGAGCATGAGCGAACGAACGTAGCGCGAATCGCCGTTGGCCACAATCTTTTCAAGACTATTCCGTAGCTGCGTTCCCACGTGGCTATAAGCCACGATACATGTTTCACATTCTCGCTTGACGGCTTCGTTCGTCAACTTGAGCACATCCTGATCGTCCTGTCGAGAACTCTCCGCGGCCCCGAGAGCTTCATTGAGTCGATCAACGTGTGTGGATGCATTATAGAAGACGATCTCCAAACTATTCCGCCGAGAGTCATCACGTTTTATGACGTTTATCACAGCTGATACGTGAGACTGAACTTGGAAAAGGGCAAATAGAATGCCTTTGGCACTCTCAATTACCGGGTCTCGGGCTTCCCTCTCGCCCTTGTGTTCTGGCAAACTCGACATTCGATTCACAAACCCATCTTTCAAGCGCCTGCGCTCCCGCGGGCTACTTGGACTAGAGGAATTGCTACTACCAGCATTGCCCACTGGTCGTGACCTGAGAATGGAGCCATGGCTGAGTCCACGCAAGTGACTGTTTCGATAAGGTCGTGTTTCATCGAGGGTTCCCAAGTCAGTGTTCTTTCGCGTAATGACCCCCATCCGCTTGTTGCGTGCGGCGAACGATGCTTGGATGATGCCTTCGCTATTGCTACGGTTGCGTTCATTCACTCCATGGTACGGGCTTGCGCCGGGTCGTTGAAGGATACTACTATGGAAGATCGGCCCTTGTCCAGAGGCGATACGGTAATGGGATTTGAGCGGAATCGGTGGCGGCCTCGCAACGGACGGTGACTTGGGATCAGAGCCATCACATGTGCTAGGGATAACTGGGAACCGGCTGCTAAGCTTGCGTCTGACGGGCTTTGGAGTATCGAGAACACCCTCGCTTAAAAACTGTCAGCTGAAGTCGCCAGACGTATTGTGAAAGTCCACTGTACCTTGACTCGCTTCCTCGGTCTTGCTCATTAGTCTGTCGAGTTTTGAGGAACCTTTTCAGTTCTGCGGTAACGGCGACCTCCTTCTCATTGTCTGTCATGGCGGACGGGGCGATTTCGGTCTCCGAGGTCTCGAGAACTCGTCGTAAGGGATACCGTAGTGGGTTACCCGCAACCTTCAAGATCTGGAGTTTGGTCATTTCTGAGATTCCAAATGGTAAATCATCTAATCGATTCTGCATAATCGAAAGTACACGAAGCGAAGACAGTCTCTTTATCTCTTCGGGGATGTGGCTGATTCTGTTGCGACTAAGATCTAATATCTCAAGGAGCGGCAGTTTGTACACCTAAGATACCAGTTAGGACTTGGATAGTTTGAGAACAGATTCTCTGATGACACGTACTCCCCTGGGGAATTCCCGAAAATTGTTCGCTCTGATGTTCAGATAACGGAGGTGAGAGCACTCGGCGAAACGATAAGGAATGTGGAAGAGATGGTTATTCGACAAAGACAACCTGAGAGCCATCAGTTTCTGACAATATGATATCGATTCATGGTTTCCAGGTAGCCTTCCGAAGTGAAGCCTTCTATCCATAGCCGCACGTACCTTTCGACTTCATTTTTGATCGCATCCACTACCGCTTCGGGAATGCGAACGATGTTGGAGTGGCCCAGGTCGATGGTCAATTTGGGCTTGACCACATCACTGACAGCCTCGCTTCCTGCTAATGAGCGTTTCGTCTCCAGTATTCCATTCTCAACTGCACGGCGAGCTAGCTCGATGGTTTCCTCTTGAGTGAGAAACCGCGGTCCTGAGGAATGCTTGTTGTTACTGTTGCCATTTTCATCCTGATTCTCGTGGGAATGAGATATTTCGTCATCGCTTTTTGTCGCTTCGTCGTTGTTCGAAGAAGACGATGATGAGGGAATATTCTGCTCCGGAGTGCTTCTGTTCCCGTCTTCCTCGTCGACATCACCACGATATGAGTGAGGCATCCTAATCGGATCTTCGGACCGAACCATTGTCGAGAGCATCTCGGACGACCGATGGAGTAGAGAAAAAGAGATTATAAACTTGGCTCTTAAAAGTCGTCTGTTACGTCAACTCGGGATCGATTGCTTGCAACCATGAATCAAATGGTCTGGAATAGCCGAAGATTTGAATGCGGGCAGAAACCCAGCATGGTCAATGGAAGTTATTTCGAAACAAGAAGGAGATCGTAGAGCACAATAATTGCCGGTGGTGTTGCAGCAGGTTTAGTCGCGAAAATCAACCTCGGCGTGAGACGGGGCCCGATAGTTTCGTCTGATCTCGAATCGACGAGTACTTGCGCACAAGGAAGTTAGATAGCACAGAAAAGATGAGAATCTATTATTCTGTTAGATAGGGCCGAAAGTTTGATAAGTACAATCGGACTTTCTGAAGTGGCTCACAGGTGAGGGTTTCAGGCCGAGAAACAGCGTTGTGATCATGTCAAGCCAACAAAGAAGAGAATGGTGAAACGCGGAGTAGGAGGCGCAACTGCCTGCAGGAGACGCCACCACAAGCCAGGTCAATTAATCCTGGACATAGAACCAGCTATCAGAAGGAGAAGACGACAAGCTTAAGAATGATCAAGGGTAACATCAATAACCTTTGTGCCGTGATGGTGGGAACAGCCAGAGTTGATGACTGAAAGATGGGGGAGATTCTACGGCGCGACCTATCGCGCCGTATGATTGGCTGAACAGCCTAGCCGGGACTACCTAGGTATTTCACCAAAATCCTGCACTGCTATTTGAAGGAAAAATATACATAACATTATGTAGAAAAACAGGTTCATTGTGGCTGAGTATATGGTTATAGCCAATGTGTGAAAAAATACATCAGTGCGTGGTAAGGAGGACGTTAAAAAGATAAGAGGTCGAAACGAAAGCGCAAAGATGGACCAAATTCTAGTAATATACATGATGTGTTTAGGCAACAATTCCTCCAGTTCAGTTGCGAGGAGTATGAGGCTCCTGATAATCTCTTTTTCGGAAAATGCATTATACTGGCACTGGCACCTTTTCTTCCAGCTCTTCCACAGCATCATCGGCGGCGGCAATCTCTGGAGCACCGGTAAATGCTGCCGTTCTCTGGTCCAGCAACTGCGATTCTGTCTTGGCCCATGCCTTCCAACGCTCGTACTCTTGGTTCTCCAGTTCCATGCCAATTTCCAGGAGAGAGGGCCCGAAGGTCGCTCCCGTTGCTTCCGCCTCCTCTGCAGCGACTCGTCGTTCAATATCTTCTTGTAGTCGTAGTCGGTAGAATTCACGACGGGCAATATCATAAGCAGCGCTCTTTGTAATATCGGGAACATTGTTTAAAAGCCAGAGCTGGCGTTGAACGACACTGTTGAAATGGAAGAAAAGTAGTAAGCATCCGTCCTTGACTGACCATTGGGGCGCATCTCAAGCAATTGCGTTGCATGGCACATACCTTTCACCGTCCAATCTCTTCCCTGACTGCTGGAGCCGGCTCCAGTCATAATGTTCGGAATCCTTGCCGGTGCTTTCGACGAGGACCCGGGGTCTAGCAAGTTCCCAAGGATGATCACGGAAGAATTCCTGCCGCAGCTGATCTTCCTCGTATTTGATTTCAGTCGGCAAAAACATACGACTTGCCTTCTTTGGCTTGATTCGTTTCTCTTGAACCTCGAAGACGACCTGCGGCTTCGAGGCACCGGGAAGCGTCTTCACGCGCTGTCGGACGAGCTGATGCTGAAGTGGTTGGTTTCGCACAAGGACCTGAGCGGGTGGAATATCGGCCACTACATCAAGCCACTTCGGAGGAGCGCGAATCTTGCCAGCCGCATGCTGTCGCAATGCTGTTTGGCGAACTCGGAGTGCTGTGAAATTGTATTTGCCCATAGTGGCTGGGAGAGACGGCCTCGGTAGGCCCTTTCGGATGTGTAACTCGAGATTTCACACGACTTTTGTCCAATGTTGGAGAAATTCCTCTGACTTGAGGCCTCTTTTTCTCTATTTTCCGCACTGTGATGTGCAATTCGGTCGTTCCAGGTCACGTCCCGGTGCTTTGGAGTTATCGAGTGCGGGTGTAAAAAAGAGGGAATCCTGAGCGGAGAGAGTAATGCGCGCCTCCGATTGGACCGACCGACGGGCTCCGCCCAAGCGCAGAGAAAGTTGAGAAATGCAAGTTCTCACAAGACAATCGACGCAGGAGGGCATAATAAATTACTCGCTCGCCGGGGAGAGCTTCAATATAATCGCTCAATTACCAGCAGGACGTTAATTGCATTTGTCTGTCTAGCCCGCCCTCATCGAACTCGCTGCTCTCCCCTATATCTTGCTGTTCTCCCTTCCACCTTTCCGTCTCGTCACTCTCTCTTGCCTGAAGAGCAAGCTGCCCTGCCCTGTTCAACCTGCTCGAGAATTCCTCGAGACATGCATGGCTGATCCGATGCCACCATGTCTGCCGTCTCATGCCTCTTCTCAATAGGTCCCAGAGCTCACCCGACGCGGGAATCCGTCCTTTACAGGTGCCGGATACTTACTTTTCCCGCAATTCCCGCTCGATGCCCGTCTCAGATACGCCCTCATCCAGCTACAATGCCTCTATCAAAAGGCTCGGATATCGCCGTATTCGTCCCTCCGTTGCATCTATAGCCGACGTTTTCGTCAACTCCTTGGTCATGGCGAGTTTCTGTCGCGATCACTCTCCCCGCAACAGAGGGCTTTCTACAATGGCTGTCAAGACTTCAACTCAAAATATGGCTCGTATGAAGGGAAAGAGTTTGACAACCATCAGGCGGCTCACTTCTGGGAAGCGCCCGGTCCCCTCAAACTCGCCGGTAGAGTGCTTTGCCTTTGACAGATTGCGGACGCAACGAACATTCAACTCGGGTGTCGTGCAGAAGGTTAAGGATGATGACCATGGGGAAGGCTATGGGACTCAGAAGAATGTAGCAGGCTTCGACCAACGAGCTGAAGATTTCGAAGCAGGTCGAAGTCAAGGTCATAATAGCCAGTCAGCATTACTTCCCTCGAAGAGAAAGCCATTCCTCGATGATAATGGTCCTTCGAAAGAGCCCCATCCTAGCGATTCGGAAGAATTCGTTTCCAACCAAACGAGAGATCAGTTTGATGCACTGGAAGGCCCTATTCATCTTGCAGAGCCACTCTCTGGAAATCAATCAAACATGTCGAGCTGGGGGGCGCATCCCGAAAAGTTGAAAGATTCGTTAGACCGAAAGAAAGAGTCCGAGGAAGATGCGGACTGTTCAAAGACTCCATCACCACCGCTCAAAGCCGGAAAAGATACCAACAGAGACGCCGTTGAATTTCAAGCCGTTGAGAGATTCCTTGAAGCAGTCAAGGATCCTAAAAAAACAAATCAGTATATCTTCCGTCTCTACAGAGACCTTCCGTCTCCCGGTGTGGCGCACCTTTCGAAGCGCACCCGCGGCCTTCTTTTGCGTCGAATGTCCCAGCCTCCCAATCGTCGTTGGGCTGATGCACGCCGCTATCTAGCTATAGTGGAAGATATGATTGCTGCTAAGCTTCCATTGTCGCCCGCTTTATGGACATCCGCTATTCACCTGGCAGGAAGGGCGATGGGCCACGTGAAAAAGCAAGATCTCGTGCGATCAATTGGCATCTGGCAGCAGATGGAACACTTGGCGGGAATCGAGTCCGACCCGGTGGTTTTCACTATTCTGTTTGATATCGCCATCAAAGCGAGTCAGTTCACAGTAGCAGACAGGTTGCTTCAAGAAATGTCAAAGCGCGGCATTGAGTTTCGACGTGCCGGCAAGGTCTCGAAGATTTACTATTATGGAATGCTGCGCGACGTCAACGGTATTCATCGGGCATTCGATGAGTTTCTAGCAGCGGGGGAAATCGTGGATACGGCGGTCCTCAATTGTCTAATGACATCGTTCATCAGGGCTGGTAAGATCCGGATCGCGGAATCGCTGTACCAACGGATGATGCAGGCGCAGGCGGCTGCACGACCAGCTGGAGATACTGATCACAGGGGGGTGTCGACTCACCAACCGGCGCTTGCTTCGGAATTGGTGTTGTACCGGAAAGCAGCCAAGGAGCTCAATCGTGCTTTTGAGATGGCAGCTCGTATCAAACACACTCTGCCAGCACACCATCGCGCCCTACAAGAGTCCATCCCGATGAGCCCGGACACGCGAACATTTCACATCTTTCTTTCTTACCATGCAATTCACTCGGGTAATCTGCAGGCTTTCTCGAAGATTGTGGAGGATATGGAGAAGACGTTCGCAATTCCACCTCGCGGTATGATATATCTGTTACTTTTCGAAGGCTTTGCTCGCCATGGCAGAAAGAAGAAGGGTTGGACCGCGGATAAGTTACGGTTCGCTTGGCGATCATATGTCCGTGCCCTTTACGAGTCAAGGACAAGACTGAATGGCGACTTCTCCATTCATCGACCTGGCCTTACTTGGGAGAACCCATTAAAGGCCGACTCCCCGACTGTACTGACAACGTTGGCGGATTCTCCCCGACCCACAGTTGGCTTGTACACTCCGCTACCATCTAGCACTGGCGAGACCGAGGCTGTTTCGAACGTCAATGAACGGGCGGACGAAAACGATATTCCCAGCATCAGTGAGATCAAGGATACCCCAGAAGAGAACAAAGTCCAAGATAACAGCCAATGCATGGACGAAAAAGAAGATGAAACGAACGAGGGCGAACGGATTATAGAGCTCGACAATGGTATCGACCTCGATGTCGACGACCTCTTTCTCGCCCCAACAGAAAGCGCGCCGAGTGACTCGGACCCTATGGAGCATGAACTTGGGCGCCGGATCGAGAACGGGGTATTCCTGGGCCGTCGAATGATTCTGCTGATCATTCGGGCATTTGGCACCTGCTGTGGGCCTGAAGAGGTGATGGACGTCTGGTTGTCACTGGAGCGCATCTGGCGGCCTCAAAAACGAAAGTCGCTGGATGTCCTCGCCGTCAAGGAGGAGCTGAATAAGTATATTAAAGACCTTACTGGGCGCTGATGGCTGATGGCTGGCTGGTAGCAGCAGTGCCTTGAACTTGTATATTATCTATTTGTATATAAATACCCTTAGAGTGAAGTCGACTGTGACATATAGACAAACCATTATGTGCTTGGCAAGTCCACTTCGATACATGTAGGAGGTCAACGGACTGGCCCTGGGATGGCTCCTGTTGTCTCATGATGAGTATCAACCCATGCGAAGCCATATATTAGTCACGTGATAACGCGCGTCCCTTCTTTTCGGTCTCTTCGCGTCGACGCGTGGATCGAGATAACTTGGCCAAACAATCCTTCTCATCGCTGTCTGTTCTGAACTTACTATTTGTCTCAACGATGCAGAGATGCTTAACGGCGGATTACAGCGCCGTAAAGTAGACTTGGATTTCTACTTGCACCGTGTCTTCCGTAAGCAATCATTTCGGTAAGTTGCTGGAATGCTAGTGCCGCATAGGACTCAAGATGACGCTGATATCCCACACCTTGATACCAGTCCGCTTCAACGCGAAGTTGTAACAGCTGCGGTCGAGGGTCATGACGTTTTCTTGCAGGCGTCGACATCCTTTGGAAAGAGCTTGTGCTTCCAGCTGCCTGCTGTCCTCAGTCATGGCGGTTGGTCCACCCTCCACCAGTTGACGAAATTGGCATTCTCACTTAGGCATTTCCTTTGATTACTTATTCTTTCATCGACAGTGACTGTTGTGGTGTGCCCTCTGCTCGCTTTGATGGTGAGTAGCTCTCTTCAGCCGTTCCCATCTCTATCAATCTGTGCAGTCCATTAAAGATGTGTCCTCCAATAGACGGATCAAGTGAATGCACTTCAGGCTCTGGGAGTAGCAGTATCCACCATCAACTCGACGACTCCTTTAGCTGAGAGACGCGTTATTATAGACGATCTTCTTTCTGGGCACCCGAGGACACGTCTCCTTTATGTGACGCCAGAATTATGCCAGACAGTGGCGTTCAGGCGGACTCTTCAGACTATGCATTCACAGGGAGAGTTGATCCGCATAGCAATTGATGAAGCACATTGTATTAGCGAATGGGGCCACGACTTTCGTCCGGCATACAAACAGCTTTCTTGGTTTAGGCGTCATCTGAATGAGCCGCCAGTCCCAATAAGTGCTTTCACGGCCACGGCAACTCCACGTGTGCGCAGAGATATCATCAACATCCTTGGATTGGAGCCTGCTCGGCTGAAGTTGTTCAACACTCCCTCTGCTAGGCCGAACATCCACTATGAGATCAGATACCTCGAAGACTTTGCAGAAGATCCGCTTGAGATCGAGAATTTTCAGCTGAACGACCTCCACTCGTGGTTGAAATCCATCCGAACGCGACGAGAAGCTAGGCTAGATGCTAAGGACGCCGTACTTCCCCCGATTTTCGGCATCGTCTATGTGCCTTACCGCGTAATTGCTGAACAGCTAGCCACCGCTCTTACGAAAGTGTCTGATGGAAGCATTCGTGCAGTAGCTTATCACGCCGGCCTTTCCTCGGAAGACAGGAATCGTGTGCAGACTGAGTGGACCGCGTCAAGGCCTTTGGCTGCAGAGGAAGGCCCCCATCCTTCATTCTATATCATCGTTGCGACTAACGCGTTCGGTATGGGCATTGATAACCCCCATGTTCGCTTTGTGGTCCACTGGACTCCTCCTCGCAGCTTCGAGGGTCTCGTTCAAGAATCTGGCCGTGCAGGCCGAGACGGCCGCGCCGCCGCCTCTCTCATCTACTATAACACCCAAGAACGAGACCGGGTCCTCGACCGCCTGTACAAGGACGTCCAGAACGCCAAGATCCGAGCTGGTATTAAAGGCGACAACGGCAATGAAAACCAGGACTCATATACAAAAGCCGTACATAACTTGCAGAGCCACAGTGCCCGGCTGCAGAGCTTCAAACAGGTTATCCGATACTGCGAAACAGTGACCCAATGCAGACATGAGCTCATCAAGGACTTCTTCGGGGACCAAGAGCTCGAGATGATGGGGTCTCAAGTCGCAGGCCGCAACGTCAAGACCGAGGGAGCGACTACGTCCCCTTGTGACTTTGCATGTGACTTTTGCAAATATGGCACGGTTGAGCTGAGAAAACGAAAAGCGAGCATGCCCCCTCGGAGCGACCCTTCAGCGTTCATGGACCGCAGCCTTGTTCAGAGTATCCAAAGAATGTTTAGTGATCTCCACTAGAGTGCTTGTTATTGGTGATCTCTGGTACTCTAGATCATGCAGGGACCGGAACATGACTCGGATCTGCTGAAGGACGGGGAGTGTATGGCTTTGTGAGGACGGTATGTGTAAAGCCGTTCTTTGGCAGGTCTTTTGCTTTCTCTAGTAAATACCAGAGTCTTAGAAGTTTGCTATCAACTAATCAGTATGTTGCAGATCTCAGGCCGAGGTCTGTGATGAGCATAGATTGACAAGATTCCAGTGATAATCTACAAGTGCCGAAGGCCAACCACACTCAATTATTTGACTGCCAAAAGACATTATTGTAAGAAACGAGATGAACTTTGAAAATTATTCTTCAACAATCAGCTCTACCCATAAAATAAAGAATCTTTCCTTGCGAGCGTTCGACTTAACTGTCACTGCTCCGTTATGTCATGTGGATGTCCTTGGAAACCATGGCATAACATTTCTAAAGACCGGGAGGTGGTGGAACCTGAATGGCATTGTTAGTACGAGATCACCATCATTGAGATTAGCTGATACTTACAGCACTGTAGCTGCCACCGCCAGGAGGCGGCGGAGGGGGAGAGCCAGAGCCAGGAGGTGGCGGGGGCGGGGCCTCGCTAGCTGGAGGTGGTGGTGGAGGGGCAGGACTCTGGGACTGGGAAGACTGCTGTTGCTGTTGTTGAGCTGCCTGTTGGTAGTACTGGTAGTATGCTACGTAGTTCTGGTAGCCACCGTAGGCCGCATAGGGGTCAGCTCCGTAATATTGCGCGTACTGTGCGCTATAATCAGCCGGGCTTCCGGCACCAGCGGCACCCGACGTTACTGACGCTGCCTGTGCAGGACTAGCCGTGGCAGAGGGCGAGTTGGAGTGTTGCTGGTTATGCTGGCTAGAGTAACCACCGCCGTAACCGCCTCCATAGTAACGATCACCGCCGCGTTGACCATATCCGCCATAGCTGTGCTGAGGCGGATTCTCCTTGAAGCGCTGATATTGTTCTCTGACATTGGCTAGAAGATCCTCACAGAGTTCCTTAGCAGCCTGAACATCGTTTGGATCGGGGCCACTTCATTCAGTCAGTCAATCGAGTCCAATCAGAACGGTAACTGAAATTGTACTCACGCTACGTGCAAAAACATGGGCTCATCACTTTCCCTGCCGGTGCTTGGTTCCAAGAAACCAGAGCCACGACCCTTGATCTGCACCTTGCAACGAGTCTTCTGTTGAATGTGCTTCACATATGCACCTCCTTGTCCGACAACTTGGGCTCGGAGATTGAATCCAGGGATCGGTTCCAGATCGACCGGAATCCGTTCCTCGGGCCATTTACGCTGTACGCAATTAGCGCCTTCTTAGAAGTGAACAAGTGAACGAGTCCATACACGGCCGTATTCATCACGCTCAACTGGATCCGGCTCACGCCGGCGGAACCTTCTCTCGTCAACGAGATTCGGTAGCTCCTTCTGCATCAGTTCGTCGATCAGGGCCACCGCCTTTTCGAGGCCTTCTTTGGTCGTGCTAGTTACGTGGAGGTACAGCGGCGGGTTCTACACAAATCTTATTAGCAATAGTACACACTGGGGGAGAAAAGGAGGAAGGATAAGCACATACCGCGGCGGTGGCCATGCTCTTGTCGGGATAATAGCTTCCTCGGGTAGTGACATCTTGATAATAAGACTTGATGAGCTTCCTTCTTGATCAAAAGTTTCATAATAATATAAATGTGGAATGAAGGCGTACCGGCGCCAGTTTGGTCTTTAATCTAGATGTCACGCAGCGGAGGTCAGCAGATGAAAATGAGGGTAAGTGAGATGCTATGGATGGTTTGATTTGGGTAAGCTTTAGCCACGGCCACGAAAAAGAGGAACAGAGATGGAGGGGAAAAGCAAGATGCGCGGCTGTAGCGGTAGCCGGCTTGCACAATAGTGCCTGGAATATCAGCAGACGCAAACAGGAATAATTACCATCTTTTGGGTGGAACCCTTGGTCAACGTGTAGCGGTTGCGCAGGTCATTGATTTCAATGTCTTTGATGTAATCGCCGTCAGCAACGTAGATTTCGGGATTCAACTTCTTCGAGTCCGAGGCGGAGGAGGGCGAAGCGTCATTCGGTGCGGGACTGGCAGTCTAGAAAGCATACACGAGACCAAGTAAGCAACAGTGGCATCATGAGCACAGGACCATCTTGAGTTCTCACCGAACGTATGGGAGGGACATCGACGTGCTGAATTCCTTTCTTGGCTTGCAACTGGGCGTTGATCTTGGCCGCTGCAGCAGCTGTTCAGATTTCCATATTGTCAGCTTCTGCGGTAAAAGAAAGAGGTTCGAAGCCTGCTTGGTGGCCATACCTGCTGCAGCTGCAGGATCTACAGAGCCTGATTTCCTCGAATCGTCGGCGCCAGGGCTGAAGGGTTCACGACTGAGAGGACTGCGGGTGCGAGTGGATTCTGGCTGTCGCGAAGAAGGAGACCGAGAGCGACGGTCAAATCGTGAAGCTCGTCGCGGCTCAGGTTCCGTCTGATCGAAGCGAGAGCGTTTGGCACGGCGTTCGTCGTCAGCCATGATAGGCGAAAGGTATGAAGGAAGAGGAAGTTTTGCTGTAACTGGACAGGCGCAATCACAGAAGATGGTCCAGAACAAGCCTAAGAGGAGGACCTTAGAAGTCCAAAAGCAACAAAAAGGTTTGGTGGAGTTAGAGGATCAGCCCGATGGACGCTAGTGTAACAACCAGCACCGACGGAACACTTTTTCTCTTCGGTACGGAGTATGGAGAAATGGCGAATCGCAGAGGAGATTTAGTCAAGGAGCATCTAGAGGTTGGTGAGCTCTGAGGCTTAACGGTTTGCAACCTAGTCAGTGTTATGACAGAGCTCTGCGAAATTTGAGCAGACTAAGTTATTCTTCAGTTATCCTTGAGGACAAAGACACGAATAGAAAGTTGGCGATGTGCAGCAGCTCCAGGTCATGTGACGATGCGCATACTCCCATGTTCCCGCTAGTCTAAAGAAAGCCTAGCGGTATTGTCACCCTGGTAAGTGACATACACAGGCTTGAGTCAGCGCCCCCGACGTCGGAAGGCCGCGAGTATAAAATGCGATTTATGACTACCGACTCCTTCTCATCCTAGAAAAAGACTCCACTGAGTCGGATCAGCCTCTCTTGTTTTGCCTGCCTTCGTCGCGGGTCAATTCGAGAGATCATGTCTTTCCGACGCCCTCTGATGCTGTCATCGGCAGCATCAGTGCCCTTTCTAGCGGTGTCTTCCAAAACCTCCCGAGTCGCAGCCAGTCTTCCTCGATTCACCGCATCCAGAGCCTCGTCCAGCTCGACCTCGGCATTGGCCTACAAGGCCTTGCATCGTCGCTCGCCTCTTCCCCTGCCTGTTTCCGACGCCTCCCCGCAATGGGACGCCCCTACGGCCGTCTCGTCGATTTTGTACGAGACACCTGTCACACCGACCAATCCTCCAAAGCGTCACATCCTGAACTGCCTGGTGCAGAATGAGCCCGGTGTGCTGTCCCGCGTGTCTGGGATCCTGGCCGCCCGTGGCTTCAACATCGACAGCTTGGTCGTCTGCAACACCGAGGTTGAGGATCTGTCCCGCATGACCATCGTGCTGCAGGGCCAGGACGGTGTCGTCGAGCAGGCGCGCAGACAGCTGGACGACCTCGTCCCCGTCTGGGCCGTCCTCGACTACACCGACTCCGCCCTGGTGCAGCGCGAGCTTCTGCTCGCCAAGGTCAGCATCCTGGGCCCCGAGTTCTTCGAGGAGCTGCTCCAGCACCACCGCGAGATCACCACGCCCGGTGACGCCCTGGAAGGGCAGAGAGAGAACAAGGTTGGCGATGCGCAGACCAAGAAGGTCGAGTTTCACCCTCGCCATCTGCCTCCCAGTCAGGCACTGAGACACAAGCACGAGCATCTTGACGCCATCACCCGCTTGACTCACCAGTTTGGCGGCAAGGTTCTGGACATCAGCACCAACAACTGCATTGTTGAAGTGTAAGCTTTATAAGTCTACTCCTTTATAATTTGCGATCTAGCATCGGCTAACATTTCGACAGTTCCGCCAAGCCTTCTCGTATTGACTCCTTCCTGAAGCTTATCAGCCCCTTCGGTATTCTCGAGTCCACGCGGACTGGTCTCATGGCCCTTCCTCGTTCTCCTCTTTCTTCTGAGCCCAGCGAGGAACTTGAGAAAGAGGCCGCCGATGTGGTCGATGCTAGCACCCTTCCTCCTGGTTAATTACAATGCCCGATACGAAATCGTCTCCTGTAAAACGCAAATCTCCTAGTTGTAACTCGAAGCCTGGTGAAATTGACCGTGTTCATTGGTAACAATTTATAATTGATATGTCTTTTTTTCTGGGAATATCAAGTTGATTGGTTCATTCTGAGATCAATGTCCGGCTTCGTGCTTGTTACTTGTATATCCTAGCGCTCTCTTCCTCGAACCTGATTCATTCCGCTAGTCGCGTGTATAATTCCAATTTAATGCGATCTCGATCCATAGCCTGCTAGCAAATCTGACTAGGTACTGAAGGAAAAGCATACTGCAGAATCGGGCTCATCTACGTGTTCTCACATCACCCTGCAGTAGAACCCATACCCAAACGCCGACTTTATACCCTAAGAGCGCCAAATAAAGTCCCTTAACCCAAAGACACATACTCCAAATTAGATTTTCACATTGGCCCGAATTCCCTTGCTGTGATAGTCAATTGTGGCCGTATAGTGGCCTACCCGAACGCCGACCGTGGCCATTGCATCAAGTTCAAGTGAACCTCCCAGAGCTCGTTTCAGAGCATCGTAACCGATACCCTCCGGATTCATCTCGACAGGCAACCGCGGCGTCTTCGAGACTCCCGGGGGCACCTGGAAAGGAACGGAGTAGTTAATACTACCGACCTCTTCGTGTTCCGCGTAGTAAGCGTTGGCTTGCACAGACATGATGTCTATCAGCGTCTTCGGGAGAGGCGAAAACAGGGTGAACTCGGCAGTGGATGACCAAAGGTGCAGCTAAGATCATACGTAGATTAGTCGCCTGTCCAAAAAGAAACCTGGTCCGAGAACAACGGGCTCTACGCCAAAAGACACATTGCCCGCTGGTGGCATGCTAGAACCAATTCAACGCTCATGAGGGGAAAACGGCTCCTATCAAGGTAGGTAGTACCGTGGCTTCTTGAATGAACCTGGTGTCCCCATTGTCACCGTTGGGTGCCTTGGGTGACCCGGGAATAGACATCCTGGGGAGTTGGAACTCGAAGCCCAACTTTGATAACGCTCGCCCCAATTTAGGTAACGCTGGGATAGTGCCTTCATGACCCTGCACTGTCACGGTAATGTTGGACCCTAGACATTGGTTAGAACCTTAACGATAACAAGAATGATTTTAGGTTTTTATGTATCTCACCTGAGACACATTTTGATAGAAATTCTCGACCAGCTTCTACACCATCCTGACCTCCTTTCGACGGCTCCCACATGATATCGACCCGAACTGTCGCATCTGACTTTGAAGCCACTGCGATGTCTAGGGCTGTGATATGGGCGACCTTAGTCCCGTTGTACAACATCATAAAGTCGGCAAAAGGCACTGATGCTGAATATTCCGTGGGATTGGTGACATTCATTCTCGTTTTGACCAGCATGGAAGAATCGGTTGTATGTCCTACTTCGATGGACTCTAGCCGTGGCATCAATTCATCGAAAGTGCCAGAAAACGGAGCTGAACAGGGATCAGTGATCTGTTTCTTTCGGAAGTTATCCTGCCAATGCACTCACGCTTGACTTGAACAGCCCCCTCGGCCGGTATGCCTCTGACTGCAAACTGGCCAAGCTTCGTTGCAACTTCCGCATCGACCGCTGCAACGACACGTAGGTCAACCGGCTTTCCTTCAAAAATCAGAGATTGGAGGATTTCGGTCAAAGCATCTTCATCAGTAACCCTTAGCGGTGCATCTTTTATCGCAAAGTTTACGAGCAACGCCGGGCAACCGTCTGTATCGTTGATATAACTTGCATTGGCCGGCTGCCACTTTGGAATATTCATGACTCCAAGCTTTTTCCCATGGTAGAAGACATCAGCATTAGCACGAACATGTGGGATGTCTATGTGCAAATTCATCTGCTCCGGCAATGCAACTAGCACCTTGACCAGGGCCGATATTCTTGGTTGAGATTGCTCTGAGTCTGGCTCAGCGAACGGATCTGGAAGACTGAGATGCACGTCTGACATCGTGTAGTTCTTGACCAGGTTGTCGAGAGCATGTCCTGTGAAGGGCATTGGTACTGTGACACCCTTCAAGATGTCTGCAAGCCAGGGTGGAGTTTCCAGAGATGGATTATCAGCTCCACGGATGTAAACCGTAGTTGGACGGCCGTTCATATAACTCTTGACAAGAAAATCAAGTGGTGAGTCTTCCCTTCCCGGGCACACTCTTGTCAATTCATCGGAGAGACTTTGCATAGTACCAACTACATTCATGACAGCACTGGCACCAGGTTGGACCTGAAATTCCTTTGTGACCGCATCGGCTACCAAGATGTTGGGATCCCCTGGCGAGCAATTCGGTACGAGCAGCTCGAAGCCGAGCGAGGGTATCGTCAGGGACAAAGGAGAATCAATCGATGAGGTGAGCGACACGTCAAACGCCAATGCGCCACTTCCGTCAGGGATATCCAGGTCGTAGACATTCAGCTTCGAGATTTTGACCTCAGGCAAAGCAGGGAAGTCTTTATCTATAGACAGTATCAGCGATTGAGAAACTCTCTGCCAATGATGAAGAACAGCAGCACGGGTAGACGGAACTAACCTTTGAATGTCACAGAGTCAGTCAATATCTGCTCACCCAAGCTCAGTAAACCAGACTTGAGATGAACAATGGCCTTTCCATTGACCCTGAGCTGACCAAGTTTCCCTTCAATCCAATCGTCCGCCACTGCTCGAATACCCACGAGGTCGCCGGCTACCAAATCTGCCAGAAAATCAAGGTCGTTTGTATGACCGTTCTGGACATTCACTTTGATGGAGGGCAGAGAGGCCGTGCCGGCGAGAATATTTCCATATTCTGGAAGGTAGACCTGTACCTCCGACTGACCCGTTTCCACTTCCCTGCTGATCCAAGTGACCAACCGGCCTAGAGTCCGGACTGACTGCTTCTGAACACGGTCTGCATCCAAGGCAAATTTCCCTTGAATTCTGGTTCGCACACCATCCTCGGTGGTCGAATCAATAGAAATATCCGTAGGTTTGAATACTGCGGCTTCTTTTGCATATTCCTTCACGACTGCTGGTGCCACATAAGCGAATACAAGGATAGACATGACAGCCGTCAGCGTGACGAACGCGCAGAGAAATTGCCATCCTGTCCTGCCACTCAAACGCTTAGAATACTTGTGCAAACTGGAGGTCTCAGACGCTGACGATGAAGCTGATGCTCTCCGAGGCGCCGTGCCGTACGCAACAATATCACCGTCATCACGACGGACTAAGAGAGGCGTAGACTCTGACGACAACTCGAATGGCCGAATCGGTCGATCTGCGTGAGAGGATGAGCCATCCGTAGACGTCCCCTCGTTGAGCAGAGGTCTGCGTTCTTCGTCAGCCATAATGGCTGGAGGAGTGGGGAAGACAGCCGAATGTGGAGCGATAGAACGGCTAATTCATTCAGAGAACCTGTGGAGATAAAACAAAGAATAGATGTATACGAGTACTATAGAAAGATGCAATCTATAACAATAATAAGATCAAAGATGAGCAGAACAAGAATAAGCTGATGGATGGATAAGTAAGGTACCCATACTTGGAGCGTCGGATAGACTAAGGTAGGTGATGATCAACGACGTAAGAACATCCTCCGTAGGTAGCACCGCCAACAACCCAATAATAAAATGCTGATAGGGGCGTCTCCAGTTGTGGAGGAGCTCAACCAACCAGTCCAATAGCTTAGCCAACTAGTTATCATTATCAGCTATTTAATAATTGGTATGAATCGATCCGATAATTGGATACACTAAACTGCTTTTATTCTCGATTAAATCATTCCCGGGTAAGTAGACTAGGTATGCCTGTGTAATTGTTTGGGTAATTTCTCTGAGTCATTCCTTAACTGACTTCTATACCGCCAATTTTACAGCGTCGTCGGGTTCCCTCAATTCCATATTTCAATCTCATCCCCCATGGCTTGCGGTCTAAAACTGGCTGCCGCCCGATGCGGCGCATTGAACGGCCAACACTTGCGTCAACGTGTCTCCCTCAATGGCTTGCGACAGTATTCGTCCCAGACTACCCCCCCTACCTCTCCTTTCGCACCTCGCCATTTTCTCTCCATTGCCGATCTGACCCCTACCGAGTTCGCTACCCTTGTCCGCAATGCGTCTTCGTACAAACGCTCGATCAAATCGGGCTCCGTGCCTCAGAATCTCCTCGGAGCCCTGAACGGGAAGACCGTGGCCATGATGTTCAGTAAACGGAGTACTCGAACCAGGATTTCGACCGAGGGTGCCGTGGTGCGGATGGGAGGCCACCCAATGTTTCTGGGAAAAGATGACATTCAATTGGGTGTCAATGAGTCCCTATACGACACGGCGGTGGTGGTCTCTTCAATGGTGTCTTGCATCGTGGCTCGCGTCGGCAAGCATGCCGAAGTCGCCGACCTCGCGAAGCACTCAACCGTTCCTGTGATTAACGCTCTCTGTGACTCATTCCACCCGCTGCAAGCCGTTGCCGATTTCCAGACCATGCACGAAACGTTCACACCCAAGGCTCATGGTCTCTCCAGCCTGGGTCTGGAGGGCTTGAAGATCGCCTGGGTCGGCGATGCGAATAACGTTTTGTTTGACATGGCTATCGCGGCAGCCAAGATGGGCATTGACCTGGCCGTTGCCACGCCCAAGGGCTACGAGATTCCTGCGCACATGCTGGAGATCATCCAGAAGGCCGGAGAAGGCGTGTCCAGCCCCGGGAAACTCATCCAGACCAATGTTCCTGAGGAAGCTGTCAAGGACGCGGATGTTCTGGTCACGGACACTTGGGTATCCATGGGACAGGAAGCCGAATCGATCAAGCGGCTCAAAGACTTTGAAGGCTTCCAGATCACAGCCGATCTGGCCAAGCGTGGTGGTGCTAAGGAAGGGTGGAAATTTATGCACTGCTTGCCCCGTCACCCGGAGGAAGTAAACGATGAAGTCTTCTACAGCCAGCGGTCCTTAGTCTTCCCTGAAGCAGAGAACCGGCTGTGGGCCGCGATTTCTGCTATCGAGGCATTCGTTGTGAACAAGGGGAAAATCGTATGAAAATCGAATAGTTTCTATAGAAAAAGCAAGCCGAAATCAAATTAGCAAGATTGATCGAATATCATTCTGCCCCAGCTAGACCTGTGTGTAGAGTGCTATATTTCTTATTAATTTCTATGTACTATGGACAGTGTATAGTGGAGATGTGGAGATTTACCCCAGGTTATGCTTCATCGATGGTCTTTCCCCGAGCGCGTCACGAGGTCGTACGGAGTACAGCCAGAACCCAAGGAAATCGATTCACCAGGTTCAGACCCTGCAATGATGCACTCTATCCGATCCGACCCTTGACCAAAAAGCCACTCGCAAGAGCTAAGGTCTGTCAGTCCCAGAGCCCACTTTCACATGCCGACAGTCATAGCTCGGGCGGAGAAGGGAGAGTCAGCGAATCCTTGCCGCACCTCACTCCTCGTCTGCGGAGTACATCATCCCATATTACTTCAAGCTTGCAAGCTACTAAGAGCTCTTTAAGCTGTCCTCTTCCAGCCAACAACCGCTTCATCGATCTCTCAGCAGAAAATCAAATGGATGTATGGGTCTGTCCTTCCATCTGTATTCCTTCTATCTACTCACTCAGCTCCACAGGGTTCTGCATCCCAAAGCGGGAGCGGATTTCGATCCCGCCGCTCATATCCTTCACTAAATCATGTTTCGCTTGCACCATTGACAAATCGGTTCCCTATCGACGACGACACAGAGCCAGAGGACTATTTCTCACCACGAGATGAGCGACCTGCGGACACCCCGACACGGACATCCTATCTTTCAAGCTTTTCCGTCCCAGGGACCCCCGGCGTTCTCTCGTATTCCCGCAGCGGATCCCGAGTCCGTCTGCACTCCCGAAGCAAGAGCTCGAGTCGTATCCACCGCAGCGACAGCAGCCTGCAGAGCCAGGACGAGGCACAACCCCTGCACCGTCACCAACATGCTCACGGATCCAAGAAGAAGCACACACCCTCGTCGCGGCATCAGCCCTCCGAGTCAGCCGGACGCCGCGACGCAGAATGGATGCTTCGAGCCGGGATCGCGCTCGCTTCGTCTACCCGAGAGGAAAAAGGCCAGAGCTGGCTCGTGAAGCGCGAGAGCTCGACGAGTCTCATCTCGGAAACAAATCTCGACAGCCCAGTTCTGGCCCGCCGGTCGAGATCCGGGAGGTCTACGCCAGCCGCGCATTCGCGATGGGGATCCCGTGCGGCAAGTCGAAGGAACAGCAGACCCGATCTGGCTATGACGAGCCTCGATGCGCTCCCCACTAGATCAGGATCGAATGCTCATGACTCGGCCGGTCCCGACGAGGAAACACGCCATTTCGTCCCTGACTTTGTGGATGAGCGTATCCGCGCGGAGATGGCATCCATCCAGCAATTCGAGGACGAGTATGCCTCGGCCTCGGACGAGGAGTCCGACTCGGAGGACGAAATCGACGAGCAGGAACTGCAGCGTTTGACTCGGGAGCGAGGGTTCGGTCTGGGCAGTTGGATCGATCGGATGGTCGAGTGGACACTATTTGGTGTCGAGGATCTACCTCTTTCTGCAAATGTCCAGTCCGCCAAGCTAGCAAAGCATCCCGACGCATCTCCAGACGACAATAATGTCCGCGATGATCACTCTTCTGCGGCTGAATTGACCGACGACAATGCTAGCGTGTCCGCTGACGAATCTATAGCTTCGATCGTGGTAGAGAAGCCAGGGGAGAATGGAGGCTGGGAGGATGCAGGGTGGTTCCTCCGTGTCATGAAGCGTGCACTATCATGAGTCTTACAAAACGCGATTTCCACTTTGTGCAATTTTATCATGCATTGCTTCCCTTCTCGACTCGAGCATCACGCATAAATCTCGAGAATATGACTACAAACTTGGCTTCTAGGTAATCTGGAGTATCCTCATTTACTTTAACATTGATCCGCACTCATCTAACTCAATAATCAACCAAGATTCTGCAGATTCATTCTGAATAAATACATGACTAATGTTACGACCTCTCCACGGTCATTTCCCTTCTATTCCGTCTCACCCTCTAGATCCTTTATTTAAGTTGGCTTTGTGTGCAAGAGGCCAGTCCGCATACCGACACGTAGCTGGACCACTGCAAGTCTAGGATGCCTCTGAAGTTCCACAGTGCTGCGCGGCGACAATCATTCTGCTGTGTAAAAAGCTTGTCTAGACACTATTCCCAATCGACGCATTGTGAATGCGACTTGTTTCATCAAAAACCGAGCATGCTAACCATGCACGGATTGAGAGCATTTGTATCTTTTACTTGACACATGGCTGGCCCATCTGGCACAATAATTCAGAATATGATCGAAGCCACCGCAATTGAAGATGACACCAAGTTTCAGCCACCAGTATGATCGAGAAGAGCGGAAAAAAGAATGGGCAAAGGGTATACAAGACAGGTAGCGGACATAGGGGAAATGATTGCCGTCAAATGGCACAAAATCCAGGCTTAAGAAGGCGGCCGTAGCAGATTGAAAACAGAAATGAAGAAGGAAAAGTGAGCAAAATGAATGACGGGAAGGGAAGAGGCTTGTGATGATTCGTGTCGGTGGTGTTATGATGTAGCTTGATAGGCAAGAAGACGCGATAACAGAAGCATTCCCTGTAGTCTTGTGCTCTCTCTCTCGGTAACAAAAAAAAGACGGCGAGCCTGGTTTCAGAAATATGACACAATAAATAAAGCGCAGTGTCCCTTTGCAAACTGTAAACGTCAGGAGATCCTCAACTCTCTAATTCATGCAATAGGTATCGTGATCGTATCATATGCAGGCGTGTACGATCGAGTAATCCGACAGTAGCTATCGAAAATGACGAGTAAAACCGCAACGCTGCCGCAAGGGTGTATCGGACGAGCAAGACTGCGAGAATTGCTTCTTTACCAGGGTCCAACTTTGACGGGTGTTCCCAAGCCATAAGTGCCGGAAAGTAACTGTTCCCGGACCGAGACAAGATCCCCACCAGTCGAACTTCCATAGCCTTGGGAATCTGGGCCGTGCATCCAACCCAAGCTGTTACCAAGCTCGTTAACGGCAGCCTGAAGTCGACCGCCGGCATTCTGGTTATGCTTCGCCAATTTCTGATCCCATCCACCATACTGTAGCTGAATTCCGCCACCACGCTTCGCCGCCTCTCGGATTACCAGAATCCATGCCTTGCAGATTTCATCATATGCAGAGTCCCGCTCTATGTTGTTCTGTGGTGAGTGCCATCGTGGCAATGCGTGAATGATATCTGTAGCCCCGTCCAGATAACTCAGAGACACGGACGCTTGAGTTTCATGTGGCGGCAAGAAATGTGGTGTGAAATCACTCAGAGCATCCAGCAGATTCCCCAGCGGCTGTCGGACACGGTTGTAGGCATAGTCCGACTCAGGATTGCCACCTAACGGAAATGAGTTTTGTAGAGTCGATTGGTAATTGCGGAGGACCTGAAGAGCAGAGGAAACACTCGGGCGTGGGGACGTGTGAATCACTTCGTCAGCCAAAGCCGGGTGACGCTCGCACATTGACCGTAGTATCCCCCTCAAGGCATCTGTGTCGAGGGTTTCTAGCAGTCGAGGGAGGGAGAGTGGTCTGCCAGAGACGTTGGGGCGGGACCGTTTGAAGGAGCGAGGAGCCGGAAGAGATCGAGGAGTGAAGGCGGGGGAGTTGGTGGGAGAAGCTGACATCCGTCCATCGTGATCATTGCCATCATCATCGGCTTTCCGTTTACGGTTGGTGGGCGTATGAGTAGGGGTAGACACTGGAATAGTCATCAGCTCCAAATATCGACCCTGTAAACCCCGAAAGTCACTTACTTGGATGTGGAGAGGAGAGACGAGAATACTCGTAGAAGTGGGGAGGCACAGGTGGTGTAGCCACCAAGCTGTTCATGATGGGTCACAAACAGTTGATGGCAGAGAAGTACCGATATCTCTCAGTGGCGGAGGGAAACAAGGATTTCGAGCACAGGAAAGCAGAAGAGGGGGGAAAGGGATAGATCAAGGGAAAGACAAGATTTCAAAGAAAAAAAAAAGATGGAGAATTAGAGAAAAGAAAGAGGAAGAGAGAGAGAGGATGTAAGGACGAGTTGAGTTGAGGTGAGGTGAGTGGTGGGGAAGGGCGAAAGAAAGAAAAGCGGTGGACTTACACTTTGCAGGCGGTTGCGGGAGGCAACGCAGGCCGACTGCGCAGGTTTCTGGTCCATGACACCATCCATGGTCATTACAAGTGAAGTTTCAGGGGACGAGGTTTCATTTCTACCATTATATTTGATGGATGGAAGCTTTGAGAGCACATTTACAAAATCATACAAACGTATGTCGTCCATTCGAGTAGACAGAATCAAACAATGAAATCCTTCTTTTCTTTTCCGACGCCAGGGAAATGCGAGACCTCCAAAACGACTGTGACCATACGACACATACATGCTCCCTCGCAGAGATCATAAGAAGTATAAAAAAAAAAAAGAAAATGATATTTACAAGTAAAGGGACTGTGCGGCCACAATGTCCCTGCGCACCTTAGTCAGAGCTTCCTCGAATTTGCTCTCGAGTTCCTCGTTACCCATAACCTTGGAGGCTTGCGCCATCTGACGGAGACACTCCTCCAATCGACGGAAGACCCGGATCAAGGATCCTTCATAAACATCGGTCATTCCACTAGTGAGACAGGCAAGTTAGTTTCCGAAGTGGACTTTGACTCGAGAGTGCCGACAGATAGACGACTTACCAAATATCAGCAAAGGATTTGCCGTTCGCCCATTCGTAAATGACCTCCATAAGCTCCCAGTGGAAACTGTTTACATATTCCTCCTCGTTGACGGCCAGCTTGGATTCTTGAGAGACCTTGGCAACTATCCGGGCCTGCGCTTGGATTTCCTTTAGGGGCTTCGCCAGCTCGTCCCGCGTGAGAGCAGGAGTTTCCTTGGACTTCTCCTCAAAAACGAATACACTCAATACAGCAGCGATTTGTTCCGGAGTAAGTTTGTTGAAGAAACCGTTGAAAAGAAGCTCGCTGAGC